AGCACCAGTTTTTGAAAGGACTATTCTTTCCCGCATTGAGTTGTCTTGGCCCCCTTATCGAAAATCAGTTGGCCATAAATGTATGGGTGCTACTCAAAGGATCTTGTGCCAGAATGCCAAGCAATGAACTGCTTCTCTCATACTTGAAGTCTCACTAGGAAAAGAAGTCGGCTTAGTGACTTGATTGATTTATGTCCAAGAGCAAGCCCCTTATCTCCTTATGGACTGGTAACAATTGACTAGCTAGCAAATGTTTGTGTATCACATTTTGAGAAGCACTGCTCTGGGTCTTTGCTACTTTGAGTACCACTGACCAGGAGCATCCCAGGCCCTATCCCAGAGCTACTAGGTTAGAATCTATTTTTAAACAAAATCCCCAGGTGATTCATATTCATATTAAAGTTTGAACAGCACTGCTCTAAAATCAGACTCTAAGTGACTTTAAAGATCTATTCAAGATTAAGTACAAGATTAATTAATGAATAAGACTTGGGAAAGGGAGGGTACAGTACTCCCATCTTACCCACAATGGATACATTCCAAGACCCCCAGTGGATCCTGAAACTGCACATAGTACTGAACCCTATGTATGCTGTGATTTTTCCTGTACATATATACTTATGGTAAAGTTTAATTTGTAAATTAAGCATAGAAGAGATTAACAACAATAACATAGTAAAATAGAACAATTACAACAGTATACTGTAATAAAAGTTATCATAGATCTTAGTACCATCAGCATATGATTTTTTTCTTTCCTGATTAAGTCAAGAACTTTCACCTTTTCACTTAAAGGAAGCACTTTATGGCTTCTCTTTGGCGTATCCAGACTGCCAGCATCATGACTTTTGTGCTTTGGGGCTGTTATTAAGTCAAATAAGGGTGACTTGAACACTGTGATACTGCGACAGTCAATCTAATAACTGAGAAGGCTAGGTGACTAAGGGATGAGCAACATATGCAGCATGGATATGCTAGACAAAGGGATGATTTGCATCCTGGGCTGGATGGAGCAGGATGGTGTGAGAGTTCATCACGCTACTCAGAATAGCATACAATTTAAAACTTTTGCATTTCTGGAATTTTCCATTTAATATTTTCAGACCGCAGTTGAGCATGGGTAACTGAAACTGAGGAAAGCGAAACCGTGGACAAGCGAGGACTGCTGTACGTATGAGGGTAGGCAGGAGAATATCTGAGACTTCTTGCGTGGCAGAAATCCATAGGGCCCTAGATACGTTGGCCTTCAGTGCAACCGAGGGCCAACCCAGATCTCAAAGTGTTTCTTTTCACTACTGTGCTCGACTTCATAGTCTTTGCCTGTGAATAATTCCTTGAAGAGAGTTATAAAGGAAATTCGGAGTTTTAGAGAAAAAGGGGATGGACTAGTAAGGCGGGACACTTTTACAAAGCAGCTTTGGGAGAGAGAAACTAACTCTAGGCCTTAGAACTGCTTTCCTTTATCTTTAAGTTACGAAGAAGCTGAAATTTGGTTAAAAGTGTCTGCGGAACCATAGTGTGATTCTAGAAGTAGGCAGCAATAGTGCTGAGTCATAAACTCAGAAAACGTTGAATATTTGAATGGAGGGTCAAAACAGGTAAATATACCTCTTTGGAAACTTGCTCTATGCAAATGTAGGCACTGTCAGCATCAGGAATTTGCAGGCATCATGTGGGCATCCCAAGGAAAGGTGGCCTGAGCAAATGATGTATAGGGAAATTAGTTATATACAATACTCAGTTTTACTATTTTGAGGTGAGTGATGTTTTGATATGCTATTTAGAATGCTATCTTCTTTACTTTCTTGAACATAAATATAAAGGTTTTTATAGATGCACTTAGGAATCGAGTCCTCCATTTTCTTCTAAGACCTTAAGATTCTTAAGTAGGAAGTCTGCTGCAGGAATTTTGAAGCTAGGGATAGAATACTGTCCTGTGCTGCAAGCCTGGTTAAATGGGACTCCAGATAAACTTGAAACTTGTGATCGTCTATAGGATCTGGGTTGAAGGCCTGGTTTTCAAAAAGTATCTTTTTTGAAAAAAGTTTTTGAGCACTTTAAGCAGTTAAATATGAGAGTTAATAAGCTAACTACAAAACACTTTAAATATCCGAATTTAGTAAAGCAGGTCTTCTAATAACATATTTGTCAGCAGTTTAATAATCTTGTTTAATGTTAATTTAAAATAATGTTTAAAATGACAATATGATCTCTTTAGACCTAACGCTGCCTAAATCGTGTAATATAAATTGATCTGATCTATAGTTTAACTGCACATTCCCCACTCCCATGAAAACCAGGTTTTTACTTCCACTCATCATATAGACTTTTATCTTTAATACTCCAAATAGTAGTTGTAGCCAAGACATCAGTGCATTTTTCCCCACATCCTGCCTTTTCCTGAGTTAACAGGTGGCAACTGAGGTGCACCCCCAATGTGGGTTCCATCCCATACCTCTGAATCCATTCTGTTCTGTAAGCCTGGGACTGGTCTTTTAACTAAAGCCAGGGAAAGCATGGACATCCTCTGGCCTGTTGCTGCTGAGACCTGCTGCCGGTGTACCCTAAATGTGAGTCAGTCTCAATTTGCAGAAAGATCTTCTCTTGACCTTTCCTATTTCACAGCCGTTCAAACAGATCTTCTCTATTAGTTATAAAACAGTGCTGCATTATCAAGTCATTAAAGGTAAATGCCATAGTGTTCCTCCAAAGAGGCGGCCTTTTCTGCTTGGGCATATCTCAGGATCTCTGCAGGAGACAAAATGAACAGGAATTTGGGCTTGCACTGACCAGCAAACATCTTGGCAAACTGTTGTAGGATGCCATCTGCAGATGTTAATTATCCAATTTGGGTCCTCTAATAGCTCTTGACTTCCTCTTGGCTCTACCAAATGCTTTTTATTTTCCTTCCAGATTCTTTATTATTCCTCTTGGGATGAGACAAACTCAGAGGCAACATTGCTGATTTCTTTTTCAAACAGTTAAACGCAGAAACATTAGTCTTTCATTCCTCCTTGTGGACATTTGGAGGACGTGATCTACTGCTCCATTTTAGTTTCAGAGAACTTCTCTCCAGTTCTTCCTACTTCCAGGACTGTGCAAATGGAAACAAGTTCTAGAAGAGTTGGTAAGACTGAAAAGCAGAGGGAGGGATAGTCCTCTGAGACTTGAGCGCTGAAATCGCTTTCTGTTCGGAGAAACTGGAACTCTGGTGACTGCTCTTCTGCCTTATCATCTCCCTTGTTTGTTGCCCAAAGCAGTTGCTCTAAGCCTTCTGTTTCTCTCATCAAGCTTCTTCCTTATTCCCTTACACTTTGAAGATGATCTTGCTCTCTACCAAAAACAGAACAATAGATCTGAACTCACTCAGATTCCCGTTTTCTCATCCTTAAACCAATAAGCATATCCCTCCTTGTTTTCTTTCTTTTTGCCAGGAAAGAAATGTCTAAGACCAGTCCCTTTAACATTGCTCTTATTCCCCACCCCTTCTGCCTACAGGACTTTGTTCCATCAGTGATCCTCATCCTCTCCTGTATCTTCAGGCTGTCTTCTCCTGGCTCCTTCCACTCTCCAGTGCTTAGTTCTCTCCCATTCTAAGAATTCTTTCCCTCGATGCTGCTCCTCTCTTAAACACAGAATGTTCTGAAAGAGTGATCTCTAGTCAGTGGCTCTACATATTCAACTCTCATTCTTGGCAAGTCCAATTCCATTCTCACCTCCATTCCTTCCCTTCTCTGAAACTGTTCTTACGTAGATTGCCAGCGACTTTCCAATTGTCAATTTTAGTGGTCACATTTCTACCTTTGGTCTGCCTGTCTGAGGCAATAGTCATTCTTAATCCTTCACTCAGAGGAAAGTTCTGATGAGTTTTAACTTTGTTCAGGGGTCAGGTGTGTTCATTTCATCCTGTGAGGCTTCCTCTTCTTTTGGTATATAATTTCAGATTAAAAGAGACTGTATTTATCACTTTAAACAACTGAATCTCCACTTAGTGTGGTGGAAGTTACTATTCTCATGGTCCAAACTGCCAAGTTTGTATGGTGACTCTTCTAGAACCACGTATTTTCCATCCTTCCCTCCTACTTTTTATTAAAAGTAAAACAATTTATTACAGCTAGTTAAAAAAAAATCTTAGTTTGTGTTTGTGCAAAAATCCTGATACCCAGCTTGCTCCTTTTTGCTCACTAATGACCTTGGATTTTTTTTTGAACATCAGCATTATGAAGATTTGTCTCTATGGATGTTAAAATAACCATACCAAGGTGTGAGGCAACTTGCAGTGCCTAAATGGGTCTTGACACATAGGAGGTGCTCAGTAAATATTTGTTGGAAAATTAATTCCATAGGCAGCCCTGAGAAATCATATGCAGTTCCAACTAGAGAGCTGGAAGCATGACCCATCTTATATCCCAGTTAGTTGGCTTGAAAGGCTTAATTGTGAGCAAAATGCTTAGGTCTAGATGCCATTGTAGTCTTTTCAAAACTTCGTAAAGTGGTTATTCTTTGCACATATTTCCTGAAGGGAGTGAAACAGTATGAACAGTTGAAAAGTCTAGTTGAATTCACTTGTGTTCCTACAACCAGGAAAAAACATCAGTTTCACTTTTCTGAATTAAAAATTCACATATTTAAATAGTTCATACTGTCTCTCTCCTCTTAGTCCCTCTGTGGTGTTTCTGGAGATGGGAGTCTTTGCTTTTGGTTTACATGGAGCACTAATGCAGTGAGCAAGTAGGCACCCTGTGTGCATTCGGTTCTAGAATTTAGTTCAGGAGAGTGTTGTGGTTCAGGAGGGTTGAAAAATTGCTCTTGAAGACCTGGCTGTGAATCTCACAGACCGCTGGAAAACTGCCCTTGACCCTGCTCCTTCGTCTTACCTCTCATCACTGTTAGTGTCATCTCTGTGTATTTAAATTATCTGTCCTAATGGAACTGACTGGCTCATTCTGTCTCTGTTTGTATCTGTAACTGATAATATATTTCTCAACTCTTCTTTACAGAGGGACCTGTCAGGACACAAGAACATTGTGGGTTACATTGACTCCAGTATCAACAATGTGAGTAGCGGTGATGTATGGGAAGTTCTCATTCTGATGGACTTCTGCAGGGGTAAGTATATGAACTATACCTTAAGCTCTTATTTCTCTAGAACTTTGATTGTCAAGGACATGGTAGTCATTTCAGTTAATGTGCATTGTACCTTAATGTATGTTGTTCCGGTTTTAAAGATTGGAAAAGTAAGGGGCTAAAAGATGTAGAGCTTGCAGTCACCTCTTGGTTATTCCTATAATGGCAAGGATCAGTGGCACAAACAATTCAGAGTGGTAGGTTATACAAAACTCTATTTTTGTTAGGTTTAGGAAGGTTTGGTGCTTATATATGAATGAGAGTGTATGAGAATGAGAATGAATGTGTTCTTTGTGATGCTTTAAAACAAACGATGAAGGCACGTAATAGAGACCCAGCTCCAGATGGACTAAAGAAACAATTCAGCTTCCACACTCCCTCACTCATGTGTTCTCTTCTCCACCCACGCCACCATCCTTGTGTTCTGGGGTAAAAGAATCCTTTTCGTCTAATGGAAATGACCTTCCTCCTTGCTTGAGAGCTATAATTTCCAGTAAGGCTGCATTCAAATGATGCTGCTGTTAACAGTGAAGTTAAGTAGTTGAAAGCTTGGAGTTTTAAGCAGTATTTATCTTGGGAAATCCAGACTGTAGCATGAATTTATTCAGAGTTGACTGCATTTCATACAACCATTATTTGGAGGTTTGACTTTTTTGGCCTAAGCAGCTGCCACTTAGAAGCTTGGGTCAGTGTCTCACTGTTTGGTGCCCTGTTTTGTAGTCACCCTTGCTTCTGCTATCATTTTCCTTGCCTTTAAATATACTGTCCATGAGTTAAATGTTTCTAATCCAAAAAATGTGATGTTAACCAGTGATTACAGCCTTGACTGTGATAACTGTTAACCTGGTTTTGTAAAATACTCCCAAATTTGAACTCGACAGTTGGTTTCCTCCTGCTCCTTCCTTTTTGGACAATAAATGTTTAGAGATGAGGCAGTAGGAGCATCCAGGGATCTGGATGATCTTGTAAATGAGATCATCTGTCTTTCGGTCCTAGAGATTAAATGTCAGTGTAGCATTTCTACAGACCAGGCAGCAAGTATTGAAGCCAGAGAGACCAAGCTGTCCCTAAAGTACAGACTATAAAGCTGTCTTCTTTCTTCTCCCAGGGTCTATTGTGCAATCTGATTCTTACTAAAAGATATGGCAAGTTGAACCTGTGGCCTCATCTTATACACAGTGGGGACAATATAACCAGGCAACTAGAGCAGGACCATATTGTCAGTTCTACTACTAATCTTGAAGACATAATGAGGGCAGCTCACATCTGGGGTGCTTTACAAAAGAAACTGTTTTGACACATTAGAGGAAGCACTGAATTGTAGGAAAACAAATCCCTGACTGGGAATCAAGACACCAGAGTTCTACTCCTGGCTCAGCCAGTGATCAGCTCTGTTACCTTAGTCCAAGTTGCTGCTCTGTAGACAGATATTTATTCTCTTGGGTAAGTGATGAGTCTGAATGTTTATAACCTCTTTTTTGCTCTGCACCCTTCTCAGGAGGCCAGGTGGTCAACCTGATGAACCAACGCCTACAAACAGGTTTTACAGAGAATGAAGTGCTCCAGATATTTTGTGACACCTGTGAAGCTGTTGCCCGCCTGCATCAGTGCAAAACTCCTATTATCCACCGTGACCTGAAGGTAACAGACCACACTGTTTCATTAAGTGTGGTCTTCACGGAGTATTTTCTGTCTGCCCCGGGGATGGTGTACATACTGTGGGCATGTGAGTGAAGTTTAAGACATGCTCCAAGTTCTAATCTTACGTTCTGCTTGGGGAGAGAAAATAGAAAGGAAAGAAAAAAGTAACAGTACAGTGCAGATATCAGTTTTATTACTTAAGTAGTCTTCAGAAATTCTTTATAATCATCACATGCCTGAACACATATTTTTTTGTTTTTCATGATAAATTCCCAAATTTACTTTTCCAGGGTCATGAAAAGTAATACGCTAATTTAAATAGCTTGTGAACAATGATGCTTGGTCTTTAAAGTCTGTTTCATATTTTGCAAAATCCATTAATTGACTATTTAAAAAATTTGTCCCACTAATTACCATCCCTTTGTACCAAGCCTGTCCTATGGTAGTCACTTGACAATGTTAGTTGAATGGAATTGGCACCCAGTTAGGATTCGCTAGCATTTATGGAACACCAACTGTGTGCCATGTACTTTACTAGACACTTTATGTACACTGTCTGTTTGAAGGGGGGCTTTTTTCTTTACATTTTATAGTTGAGGAAACTAAGGAGCGGAGAGGTTACGTGGTTTCCCTAAGGTCATATAACTGAGAAGGGGCAGTACCAGAATCTGAATCCAGCTCTTCTGATTCTACATTATAATTTCCTTTCATTATACCTGTGTTTCGAGAAATATGCTTCATGGCTAATAACTTGCATCAGCATCCCCTAGTGTACTTGTTAAATGAAGGCTGCTGGGTACCATGCTCACTCTCTTGAGCTATAATTTTGGTGGTGATGTCAAGAGGCCCAGGAATTCATATCTTAATAAGTTAAGCACCCCAAGTGGTTTTTGTATATTCTAAAGTTTGAGGATCACAGCATACTGGCATTTCTGTTTTGGGGGTTTTTTGGGCTTTTGAAAAAAATTGAGATATAATTCACGTACCATAAAACTCACCCTTTTAAAGCGTATAATTTGGTAGCTTTTATTATATTTACAAGGGTGTGCAACCATCACCACTATCTAATTCCAGAAGTTTTCATCATCCCAAAAAAGAAACTCTGTATCCATTAGCAATCACTGTTCGTTCCCCCTTTCTCCATCCCCGGGTAACCGCTAATTTACATTCTCTTGCCTGTTCTGGACATTTCATATATATGGGCTCATACAATTTGTGACCTCTTGTATCTGACTTCTTTCCCCTAGCATAATGTTTTCAAGATTCATTTGTGTTGTAGCGTGTATTGGTACTTCAGTCCTTTTTGTGGCATAATATTCCATTGTATGAATATATCACATTTTGTTTATCCATTCATCAGTTGATGAACATTTGAGTCGTTTCTGCTTTGCCTATGATGAATAAGGCTACTATGAACATTCATGTACGAGTTTTTATGTGGGCATATGTTTTCAGTTCTTCTGCGTATATACCTATATACCTAAGCATGGAATTGCTGGGTCGTGTGGTAACTATGTTTGACTTTTTGAGGAACTGCCAAACTGTTTTCCAAAGGAGCTGCACTGTTTTATATCCCACCAGCAATAAATCAGGGTTCTAATTTTTCCACATCCTCACCAACACTTGTTACTGCCCTTTTTTATTTTAGCCATCCTAGTAAATGTGAAGTGGTGCATACATACTGGCATTTCTGTACTGAAGCAGTTGGCTTAGAAGAAGATAGATACATCTTCCAAAAGCCTTAGGTAGCCTTCTTCAGTGTCCCTCTGCCCGCAGTCAGCCCTTTTCCTGAGTAGAAAAAGGAGAATACATCTCAGTAAATATTATGAGGCTAGCGTAGAACAAGTACATAATTCTATGGAAGTGGTATAGATATAATATGGTCCTACTCTCGAGATGTTTAAAGTATTGGGGAGAGGATATAAATGAAATATTTAGACTTGAAACAAATAGGTAAAATATAGAACTTTATAGAACAAAGTGATCAATAGAAGAGAATCTATTGGCTTAATGCATGGTCAGATATTGAGATCAGGCAATGGTGGTTGGAATCTTCTGGAAAGGTGGGATTTCAAAGGACTGGTGGGAGATGCGTGAGAGTAGAGGGTATTTCAGGCAGAGAGCGGAGCCTGACGGCTGCCTAGAGAAGGGAACAGCAGGCTGTTTGAGGGTGAGGATGGAGGCCCAAGCCTAGGGCATGGCCCTTTGTGGACCAGGCTAGGGTGACTGCAGGCCCCTGCTCTGAGTACATGCTGACACTGTATTCCTAGCTGCCCTTACTCATGAGTGAAATTCTTGGGCCTGTTAGCATATATTTAGAAACAAGCAGTTTTTACCAACATTTTAGGACCTGACCTCTCTCCCTGCTGCCTGCCTTGGAGGAAAGTTTATGATGGGCTAAGAAATAGGGGAAGTGTGGCTGGGTAGCACCAACCCTAGTCTTTAAGTGTGGGCTCTGCTTCTGTGACCCATATGAGCTCCAGCTTCTCTGGAGCCCAGTTCTCTCCCCATGTCAGATGGGGTTTGATTTCACATTGGAACTCTGATTCTGTAGCCCTCACGCTGTGACTTGTCTTAATGGAACTGTAAGTGCTATGAGAGATGAGCACAGCAGCATCCTTCATATTGCCAGATGCAAAGGACACTATAGTCCCTGTCTTACTGTCCTCCCTGTGGCCTTTGACTCCTTCGTAACCATCTCCTCCCTTGACCTCTGTGACAGCGTGTTCTCCTGGCTCCTCCTCCAGCTCCTTGGTCGCTCCTGTAGTCACTTAGCCTCTCTGAGCCTCGGTTTTCTCATTTGTGAAGTGAGGACAGCAGCCCAGCTTTGGTTAGGGTCGTGGTAATGTTAAATGAGAGCGCGCATGTCAGCATCCAGGCACAGCCCTGGCACAGTAAGTCCTGAGAGAGGGCACAGAGGTGAGAGCCAGGGGAGGAGGCAGAAAGGGCCCTTGAGCATCCTTTTAGAGATGCTAGTCCCATGTTCTTAAACAAAATCTTCCTTTATTTTAACGTTTTTTAACATTTATTGGATTAAATGAGGCCTAAGTGATTATCATTTCATACCCATAAATAATACCTATCCAGTTTACATATTCCCAGCTTGTTAATGCCCTGTGGTGTGCACACTGCTGCTGCAGGGTGATTGGTAAGCATTGCCCAGTGACGGGAGGCTGAGGTACAGAGCTCAGTGTCCAGCCTGGGGACATGGAGTAGGTCAGTGCTTGGGCTCAGGCAGGAGGAGCCCCTGACTTTTCCCTCACTGCACTGAACAGCCTATGAGATGTTTCAGCAGAAGAACGTGGAGCAAACTGGAACTGGAGGGTGAGGCCGCGGTATGAGTGAGGAGAGGCTGCCATGCTCCGTTCCCCAGCCTGCCCTCAGCACTGTACCCCTTGCCCCTCCTCAGTGCTCCTAACAGGCAGTGCAGTCCTGAGAGCACAGTGCTGGGCTCTGTAGTGGTGTTTCAGTCCATATTGAAGACCATGAGGCATGCTGCTGAGTTGCCACTAGTGGTTCAGGAGACTTTCTTTCCCTCTCTTCTCTGCCTTGGACACAGGGAATGTAAATAGGGGCCCCTGGGAGGAGGTCTCAGTTGGGATTATTGTAGAGGAGTCCTGTTGCTGTTGATTTTAGTCATTGACTCCTGGTTGTTTTGATTGAAGCTTTCCTACACTCCCCAAATCTTACACTCGGTGCCATCTAGATGCTTTCTTTAGCATCTTAGATTTTGTTGATTTCTGTTAGTGTGTGCTTGATGGGCAGTCACATTTGCCTTCTGTACCGCCAGCTTCCTAAGGCCTGAGTGAAAGTCCCCATGTACCTCCTTTTTGCCCCGGCCCTGTCATTGTGTCACGTAGCCTCAGCCACTCTGAGCTCCACGTTGCTGCTGGAACCAGCCACCACAGTCCTAGCAATAGCCAGAGCCACGAAGTTCTTTATTCTCCTGTTGGCCAGAGAAAGTGCTGGTTGCTGGTCTCTCGGTTGCTTCTCTGTGAGCAGGATTTCCATTTGTGAGGAGGCACCACTCTGAATAAAAGTCAAGGGGACACAGGAAAGAACACAGGCCAGGCCAGCTCTGGACCCCCTTGTTGGGCCAGTGCCGCCCTGTGAAGGGGTCTGCTTGTTCACATTCAGACCTGAGAAATACCCTCCTGCCCTGCCTACCACATGTGTGGCCTTTGTTTCAAATTACGTGTAAGAAATAAGCTGAAGGCAGTCCCTGTCCTTAAGCAGTTTATGTTCTAAAAATAACCATGGCAGAAGTTCTGTTCTTTATGGAAGATTTCTCCTCAAATACATTATTTTAACATTTTAATTATTTACCCCGCTTTTTACTTTTCATCTCTCTGAGGAAAGATAGAGATCATTATTGTAGATTGTGGAGTCATAGACCTGGGAGGGTCACCTAAGCCTGTCCTCTCCTTTTACCAATGAGGAAACCTCTACCCAGGAAGGCTTTGACCTGCGCAGCTAATTCAGTGGTCAAACCAGAGCAAAGGCCAAGGTCTTTTACTCCCATTTTGGTTTTTGTTTGTTTGACTTTGCTATGTTTTACGATGCTGTTTGTCCAAGCACTTAAGAAAGAGGAAGCGGGGCCGGCCTGGTGGCCTAGTGGTTAAGTTCATGTGCTCTGCTTTGGCAGCCCAGGGCTTGCAGGTTCAGATCCCAGGTATGGACCTACACACCACTCATGAAAACATGCTGTGGCAGCATCCCACATTCAAAATAGAGGAAGACTGGCACAGATGTTAGCTCAGGGCCACTCTTCCTCAAGCAAAAACAGGAAGATTGGCTACAGCTGTTAGCGTGGGACCAATCTTCCTCACAAAAAAAAGAAGAAAGAAGAAGAAAGGGTTAAGATTTAATGAGCACGTTCAGATTGAAAAAGTCATGAATGTCTCCTTTTGTCAGAAAAAAGATTTTGATCTTGTGAAGTACAATAGGATGAAGATTCTTGTCCTATTTTTAGAATCACAGGTTTGAAAAGCCACATTCATCTAATCCTCCATAATTTCCAGTTGTGATAAATTCTGTGACTGAAATGCCTGAATGCCATATCTGTTTGGAGTAATGGCAAGATGAAGAGGTCAGTAGGAGATGGCTTTCCAGACCTTTTAGCTAAAGCAGCAGAATTTGGGAGTGACAACTTTAATGACTCTCTTAAACTGATAGGTTGGGAAATAAGGTCAGCAGCATTAAACTCTCAAAGAGCTGAAAGATTTGAGCGTTGTAAGCAGTGGTTACCAATGCTAGGCTTACATCCTAAGGAACTTTGCCAAAAACAGTCACTGTGCAAATTCTCGAAAGCTTTCAGAAGATGGTGTATGAATAGCCAGTTGGTTCTTTACCTTCGTAATCTCATTTAATCCCTCTTGGCCCACTCTAGACCTGGCCCTAGTCTCCTCACACCTGGATGATTGTGCCTACTCTCATTTTCTCCCTTCTCTTACTGTCCCTCCTTTGTCACCATGCTCACCTTCCTAACAGACCTCTGTTCATGCGCTGCTGACCTGTTAAAAGTGCTGGATGGCTCCCTAGTGGCCTTCCTCAGCCTGCCCTCTGTCTGCTTCTCTGGTCCTCTCTCCTTCTGCTCTTTTCTCTCACCAGTCTGAGCTGTCCCTGTTCCTTAATTGCATAATGCACATCAGTGCAGTGAGTGAGTGTGTAGTCCTAGCAGTCAGGCAGCCTGAGCCCAAATCCTGCCCTACAGCCTGTGACCTCAAGCATGTTAGGCAACTGACCTCTGGTTTTTCATCTGTTAAGTGAGGACAATAAGGCTTTGTAAGACTTACATGAAATACTATAGGTAGAAGTGCATGGGGCAGTGTGTGGCGCATAGTAAGTGCTATTAGTTGCTGGTACTATTGTTGTTATTTTCATTCCTGGCTCTGTGCCTTTGTTCCTTTTATTAGTTTTACTTATCTAAGTCCTTCACTTCCTCCAAGCCCAGCATTATCTCATGTCTGCATTCATAAGAGCGCTAGGCCATAATATGTCCAGTCCTGTGTTTTCAGTTTCCTAGCAGTACCAGTGCCCAGCACAGTGCTGTTCAGCCACACTGACCTGCCTCTGTGCTCCTCCCCACGGTAGTCCATGACTGCTCCCTTCTTCATTCAGGTCTCTGCTCTCCTCATCAGAGAGACCTTCCCTGACTGTGCTATTTACAGTTGCATCCCTTGAGGTCTTACATATATTTAACCTGCTGGATTTTTTTCATAACTTTTATCACTGTTAGGCATTATACTTATTTTCTTATTATCCTCAACTGGACTCTCAGCTCCATGAGAGGATGGATTTTGGTTTGTTCACAGCCTTATCCCCAGATCCAGAAAAGTACTTGGCATGTAGTAAGAGTTCAGAGATGTTTCTTTAATAGATGAATAGTAATAACATCTTGCATTTGTATAGGGAGATTTACAGTTTGTTTTCATGTGCATTCTCTTACCTGCTTCGTAACAACATTGATAGAAATATCAGCTTTACTTTGCGGATGAGAAACAAGCCCAAAGAGGTTTAAAGATTTGTCCCAGGTCAAACATCTAAAATAGTCACTGAGGTCTTCTGACCTCCAAATCCAATGTGGTTGCCACACACCATGGTCTGTGTTAAGTGTTTAGTTAATAATGGTGGTGGTGATGACCGAGGGCAGCAGCAGTGGCCAGCTTGGTCTCGGAGATTTTCACAGGTTTTATAAGTCACAGGGACAGACTGAGAGGGGGCGGAGAGTAGAGCAATTGTTAAGGCAGCTGCTGCCAAGTGATCTCACTTCATCATCTCATTTGATCCTCCCGACAAACTTGCAGAGTAGCCAAGCAGGGATTACTGTTCTTTTCTGCATTGATGTTTTTTTGATAGTTTTCCCTGCATTGATATTTTTGGCTCTCTTGTCTACTTTTGTACACACCCTTAATTTTTAACTGGTTTTCCTGTAAATATAGTTTTGTACAGTGTTATCTTGTGGGAGGAAGGGAGGCAAGCTGAGGTGGGGACCAGGTTGGATATAGTATAGCTCCTGAGTTCTGCCGCTATGGAACCTAACCAGAAATGCAGTTTTTAAGGTGGGGGGGGGGGAACCCTAATGTTCCTTATCTTTATTTTGTTCTTTGTCTACTTAGTTCTCCTCCCTCCCCCAGTAGTGATTTTGCTCCCTAGAACTGCCTTGTTTGTGTTTTGATGTGAATTAACTTTTCAGCTTTCTAGATTATACATTCTAGCATTAGAAGTGTAGAGACCGATCTGGGAAGGGACTGCACTCATATAATAGGAGAAGTATGATTTCACACGAGCAATTACATGAGTGAGGTACATGAGGCCAAGAAGGAAGATTGTTGCTGAATGATGCTGAATAAGGGACTTAGGGATCCCTGGTGTGTGTAAAGTACTAGACTGAATATTGTAGGGGACACATAGGCATAATGTAATTATAGATAAGAGGTTGTCAAACTGTTCTGCAAAGGGCTAGATGGTGAATATTTTAGGCATGTTGACCATACAGTCTGTCTCAACTGCTCAACTCTGTAGTTAGAGCTCAAAAGCAGCCATAGACTAGAGGATAAGTAACCACTGGGCAAGGCTTTGTTTGGCCTAAAGGTCTTACTTTGCCAACCCCTCCTATCGAAGGTAAGTTCTCTTGGTTTTGTAGGGTAGTCATGGAAGGTTTTACTTAGGAGTTACAACTTGAGCAAGGCCTTGAAGAATGTCTGGAACTTGACTAGTGGAGAGTGAACAATTGATTAAAAGGACAAACTAGGTGATACAGGGAATGCTTAGGAGACATTGAACAAACCAGCCTGGCTAGTATTTAGACACTTGGTTCCTCATTGACTAGATTCCTGCTATAGGGGCATTTCCGGACATAAAGAACTAAGGTAGCCCTGTCCTTAAGCTTGTACCCAGTACATTGGGCAAGTATAGACATCAGGCCTACCAGCGTTAGAGGGTGAGGATAGGGTCCTTGAGAAATTGCTCTGCTTCTAACCTGCTTCCTGCCCTGGCAGAAAGGCAATTGCCAGTCCTTCTCTAGATTAGATTTCCTGGGCTCACTTCCTGGGTTAAACGCTGTAAGCCTCACTTTCCCCATCTGTACAATGGAGATGATAATATATTGTTATTTTGAGGAGTTAGTGACATAATCCATGTAAAGTTCTGGGTTCAGTAGCACTCATAATAGTAAAAGCTCAGTAAATTGTGGCTGTTCTTTTTATAACCTCTAAATTAGACTGAAAACATTAGTGTTGCTTTCTTGGAATTATTTTAGATTCGTAAAGTGGGTATATGCTCAGGATAGCTTGACTGTTTCGCTTTGTTTATATAACATCAACAATGACAAAACCCCTCACGACACCATAAGTGAAACTCACTAGAAATAAAAAACCAATAAATTACAGGATCAGTTTGCAGCAAAGACTTTAGGTATTGGATTTAGCAGATGCAAACTATAAAATAAACATCTGTATAATAAATAATGTAATTTTTAGAATAATTAAAAGAAAGTCTAGAAACAAGACACTGTCTTAATTGACCAGATACTTTTAAAAGAACTACTAGTAGCAGCAGGACCTAGGTATTTGGTAGCCCTTGTCTTGCTTCTGACAGACTGGTACATGTGCATGCATGCGCAGACATACACAGTGTTGTATGCATTTCTGTTTTTTTGTTTATTCCATGCAGCCAACATTTTCTGTACCAAGCACTGTGTTAAGCACTGGTAGAGAAGACTACAGATATCTGTGCTTGTCCTTAAGGAGCTTATAGTCTACTCTTGCCTTTGTTTTCCAAAGGTGATCAGTCTTTGGAAGACTGAAGACAAAAGACAATGGAGACTACAGACTTATTGGCCTAACAAGATTTTTTGGCTGCCATTTTACTGCTCACACATAGCCAGGTCTGTCCTCCAGCATATCAGTCAGCATAATTCACCTGTACCAGAAACTAATCAACATATTTTGAGTACAGTAGTGCCTGCTATTTTGGGATAGTTCCTTGGCAGAGTCCTTTGATACCAGGGATTTCTCTAGGTTCTGGTCTTTGTAAGTTTTCTTCTACCCAGAACTCCTAACTTACTGCCCAAAGAATTCATCTATAAAAAGGTTAAGGTAATACTTTAATAGGAAAACAGCCCATTTGCCCACAGGCCTTTAATCACTTTGAGAAGTAACTAAAACATAGCAAACAGTTATTAATTCTGAAAATCCTAACCTATTATAGTAAAGAAATTGATATATGTGTTTATAAGGCCTAGGTGAAATAATTGACATCAGGAAGAAGAAAGCACTAAAGGAACACATTTGTCTGGGTGGGGGCCTGAGGAAGACGTCAATGGAGAGATGGCATTTGAACTGGAGTTTGGAGGATGAATGGGATTTTGATAGTTGGGTAAGGAGGTGGGGATCACAGAGAGCATTCTAGACTGAAAGAAGAGCAAGAGAAAAGATGCAGAGGCTTGAAAGTAGAAAGTTTCTGCAGAGGTGAGAAATGTGGCTGAAAATCTGGGAAAATGAGGCTTTTGCTTTCCCATTGTGAAATTTCCTCTGTGTGTCTCCTCCACTCTCATTTTACCCTGTTACTCTTCACCTCTTTTTGTTCCACTTAGATGACCCCTGTTGAGATACTTGGAGAGGAATAACTTTCCTGTGCACATTAATGGGATTACCATAAATAAAATATTTTGTTTATATGACTGAGAATGAAATTTTCACTTGCATTACTAAATGATATTTTGGAATCAGTGCTTGGGAAATGTTTTTCAGGTTGAAAATATCCTTTTGCATGACCGAGGCCACTACGTCCTGTGTGACTTTGGAAGCGCCACCAACAAATTCCAGAATCCACAAACTGAGGGAGTCAATGCAGTAGAAGATGAGATTAAGAAGTAAGCTTTTCCTCCTTTCTTGGAGTTTTGTCCATTATCATATCAGCAACTTTACTTTCAGGTTATGACTGAGAAGATCAGAGTGGGAAGACATGGTGCTAGTCAGTTGCCCCGTCTCAGAGCATCGTGTTGGCAGTTAGGTTGTTGGATTTTAAGGAGAGGATGTGCAGAGAGTTCACAATCATTGATTAGTAGAGTAAAATGAAGGAATCTTATAACATTTTATCAGTGGTCCTATGGTTATTGTACATAGACATTTTGATTTACATCACATAGCCCTTAAAAAGCTGTGTGATGCACACACCATAGACGTACTGTGATGTTTTTAAGTGGAATCACAGCCACCATGACGTTATCAGTCACTTGTGTATGCTTTTTGCTGAACCCTGAATTACTGTTTATTGCTTCCTGCTCATAAGGAGCTCACCTGCAATCTAGTGGAATTAATGGTAAGTAGGGCTATTGAAGTTTCTACAGATATTGAATCACTGACTTCCACCAGAAAAAGCTTCTTTAGATTTGTGACTCCAGTAAGAATCTGACCCGTTTTCCCCTGTTGTCCAGAGTGTTAGATTTTTCACAGGCAACACCACTCACTGTTAGTGCTGATAAATCAGCAGTCTAGCGTTCACACTTACATCCTAATCGTCACTCTCCTTTGCTACATCACCCCTGGCAACCAAGCCTGGGGCAGGAAGACTTCTGGTCCTAGGCCCTGATGGACACCTAAATCATAGTGCCCTCTGGGCTCTAGAGACTCAAGCAGCACAAATCATATGCTCAGTGACACCAAGGCACTCACTTTGAAGATGAGCATATGCTACTCTTTTGTTGAGCCAGAGATAAGAGGAACACTGTTGTTTCAGCCCTATTCCGGGAGCGCGGGTCCCATCCACACCTTCCCCGGGCCCTCAGCCAGGCCCCACTTTCTGCTGTTTTACAGTGTCCCAGCCAGTATTACATCTCTGTGTCAAGCCACATTTAAAAGAATTAATGTTTTTAAAAACAAATCAGCAAAATATAGTATCAGACAGCAAGGATTTACAGGAGAAGGTTTTGTCATTTGAGGACCCAAGAAAAGTTGCTTTTGGAGTTTATTTAGTGCCTGAGTATCTGGGTTCCCACATGCTCCTAGATTAGAAGGGCTGCTGTAGAGGGCCACGGGTGTGTGCCAAGGACAGCCTTTCATTTTATCTGCACTAATATGTCATACTCTCTTCTGCAGATTGCTCCCAGGGAACTAGACTCTATTAATATACATATATATTAAAAGTATTTCTGCTGCTCCTGGTTTTTAATTATAGCAATGACAGATATTTAACAAAAAATGAATCTCTTGATTGTAGATACACAACGCTGTCCTATCGAGCACCAGAAATGGTCAACCTGTACAGTGGCAAAATCATCACTACGAAGGCAGACATTTGGGTAGGTGTCAACTAACCTATCCACATCTCAGATATCAGCAGTCTTGACTGTAAACTCTCAGCTTTAATCCAGACAGTGCCATAGCACAAGTGGCCACTGTACCATATCATTGTCCACTTATCCCTCGGGGTTATTCTTGACTCGAGGTGACCCGCCACTGCTTCTTGAAGCGTGTCCAAGGAAATTACTTTAGAGCTCTGTGAAAATTATTCAGGTGACCTGCCCGTTATTTAGGTGGTTTTCACATATGTGTTACCAGTTCTTGAGAACAAAACAGCTGAAATACTTGTTCTTTATTGGAGCACAATTTGCTGATGATGTTAGAAATAATGTAAATCAGCAGCTAAATGGTGGTGTTGGATTCTAAATTCAGTTCCTAATAGGTTAATAGTACATAGTTTTTATATCTGCTAGTTAATGTGGATGGTGCCAGTATCCCTCAGTAGACCCAGTGCAGTTATAGTAAATAAACCACTGGTAGCAGTCTGCTTTCTTTATCTTTTTAGGCTCTTGGATGTTTGTTGTATAAATTATGCTATTTCACTTTACCATTTGGGGAGAGTCAAGTGGCAATTTGTGATGGAAACTTCACAATTCCTGATAACTCTCGATATTCCCAAGATATGCACTGCCTAATTAGTAAGTATTCCAAGTTTCTAGTTTCATATTTTTATTTCTAATCTTTAGGAATGAATTGGAGGATAAAGGGATTCGATCCCAGGAGTGATGGGTTGCATGCAAAGAAAAAGAAATCAGTTGATAATGGTTGGTCACTCAAAGATATGTAACAATGTCTAGTTACAGTAGTAGGTCTTTTTGCTAGAAAGCTAAACCCGATTTCACACCTGAGCCAGCCACCTGAGCAGAAATCCTAACTGTGCTTTGATCAGTATACTACTGCTCTGTTTTCTTGCAGTCCGTATGAAAGCTCTGGTACCAAAGGAGTCCAGCTGACTCATATCAAATGATAAGAAATTCATCTTTGCAGAACTGGAAGCAACTCAAATTAAAATGATTGCAATGCGTTGGCTGGATTGAATACATAATTAAGACTGTATAACTCTATGGAACTAGGTTTTTCCTTTCATTTAGGTTAATCACTGGATTTTGAAAAGCATTTAAACTCAGTGCTTTGTTTAAGATGTTTTTTAAGATTCCCCACTCTTTTGCATTGTCATAGCAAGCATATGTACCAATATTCATTAACCAGATGGTAGAATAAGTCATCTTTGCACAAACCACTGTAGTAAAATACTAAAGAAACAGAGATTTTTATTATCTTTTGACATTGGTCAAGACGTTTTGCATCTAAATTTTAACCATTATGGATTGATTATAAATCCTGAGCAACCCAGCTGGGGTCCTGAGTGGGAACATACTGGAGAAAATAGAAGCAAGTGTGGGGCGGAGCATCTGACATTTGTTGAGGGCCTGCTTGTACCTCATTTAATTCTTAAGACCTTATATAGTAAGTATAATTATCCCCATTATACAAATGAGGAAACTGAGGGTGAGAAAATAAAGATAACTTACCTGAGTTAACAGTTATAGCTTTTGAGTGACTGTCCCTTCTATTGGGCCAGTTTTATCAATCAACCTCTTCTGTTTATTTACAAAAAAGGAGGGAGAGTATTTGAAGGAATGTAGTATGGCATATTTAATGATCGTTGGATTGTTTTCAGAGTTAAAGCGCTGTATCTGTTCTAGAATTGCAGCTATGTAAATGAGATTGGAAGGAAATATGGGGAAATGGCCAAATTAGATGCCAGAATGATAGAGTTTTTGGTAATAAATTTTTTTCTTTTTAACATTTGTGCGGTGAATTCATATTAGGACAGACACCTCTTATGACCGTTTGTAACCTGACATCTTTCCTAAACTCTGATCTATTTCAGTTTACAAACTATTTGAAGATTCTGTTGTCACTCTAAACTCACAGGCCTAAAATTAAATTTATTGTCATTGCCCTCCCCACAACCTTCTTTTACTCCCAGTGCAAGGTTCCCCTCTCCTCTTTTCAGTTTGTGTCAGTAGTGTCACCATTCAAACTTGAGTGACTGAGATTTAAGATTTTCTTTAGATCTGGCTAGCAAGAGAGAGGAAAGAGTCAGTCATTTCCTAAGTGGCAATAATTCTTTGTTTGGAGTTTCTCCTATTTTCACTTCATTCTCTCTATTCCAATCGCTGTCACCATTGTCTCTGTAGACTCTGTGAGCTCATGCCTGTACTGGTGGATTGGCCACCAGCCTCTCCCCTCCCTCTTTGCTCTATCCAGCACACCCTCACCACGAGATTAATCTTGTAAAGTGCCACCCTGCCGTATCCCTGTTAGTAAACTTCAGGGCTTATTAGTGGTCCCACAGTCAGGCCCAAGATTCTTGGCATGGCCCCTAAGAGCCTTCATATTCTGGTTCCAATCCACCCGCCTAGCCTTAGGAAATCTCTAACAAGGAAGTCTCTGCCCTGTACTTCTGCCTCCTCAATTTCCTTGTAACAAAGCATTCTCTTGCCTTTCTCCAAGTCCATCTTTGCTTAAACTGTTCTCTCACCTGGAATGTCTTTTCCTCTGCTTTTCCCTGACTGACTAAAATGTTTCCTGCCGTCAAGGACCAGCTCAAGTCCTACCTCTTCTGCAAGTCCTACGTGAGACTGCAGCCTCATCACTATTTTCCGAACTTCATGTCCAAACCCTTCATTTGATTCCTTTGCAATAAATTGCCTTGATTGTTATTTGTATATATACATGTATATGTTTGTGTGTCTTCTCAAAGATTTCTTTTCTTGAGGATTTTTCCAGCTTCAGAAAGGGCAGAAGCTTAAAGGACCTGGAAACAGACAAGTGATTTATAGATCACGGTAAAAGTAGAGATGTATTTGTTATTTTGTAATTTCTTTTCGACTGGAAACCAGCTAATATCTCCAACAAAAGAATCATAAGTAAATTCTTGACGTTTGAGTTTTGGTTATAATTATCAAGAATAATCATTTGTTTAGCAAGGTATTATGAACTAAGGAGGCCAGAAGCAAGACCTTGTTACTTCCTAGGTACCAGAATATGAAGGTGTTAATTTTCATATTGAGAGCTTGAGTCTCTGTTGTACAAGGCACAGAATATGAACTTCAAGTATCTTTGTTACAATTCAAAAACTTAATTTTCTTGTGGATATTAAGAATTTTAGGAAAGTTAGAGCTTCCCTTTCTGAGAGGGGAGGAAAAGGGCTAATTGTGCTGTCTGACTTTTATGAGAAATAAAAATTTGGTAATAGAGAAATTATGCTTCCTATCTAGTGTAATAATTGTTAGGATTGTATTAATCAGTTTACATATGTTTGTCTTAGGGTATATGTTGGAACCAGACCCTGACAAAAGGCCGGATATTTACCAGGTCTCCTACTTCTCATTTAAACTACTCAAGAAGGAATGCCCAATTCCAAATGTACAGGTACGGGAAAGGTGCTTTTTAGGGAAAGTAAACATTATCTAATGGTCTTTTAGAATTCCTGGGGTGTTAATCAGCTGTGTAAATGAATATGGATGTCCCTTTCTTTGTCTAGTAGAGGGCATCCAAGCAAAACTAACCAGGAAGCACTTGCCATAAAGGGAATCCAATTTTCCCATAGAATTTAACTATAAAACTGAGTCAGTTACACTGAAAAAAAAATGCCCTAGGGTTTGAGTTCAACACTTTGGGTGAAGATTGACTGACATATTGTCTTGTCAACTTCACAGTTCGCTGAGAGCCAGGTGCCTGTTGTAGTTGCCCAGAGGTGATTAGGCAGGCTGCTTGCCTGAGCAAGGCTGTGGACTTGCCCCCATGCCTGTTGGAACGTAAGCCCCTTGTCACTCTGCTCCTTCATTGCACCAGAGCTTTCTTGATTTTGTTTCTGCTGTTGGCCATCTGTAACTCCCACTCATTTTCCTCTGTCTTGCTCTACACAGCAGGTAGGAATGTTTTCTACATTTAGTAATCCTAAACTCTGCATTCACAGTTTTCAGGGTACAGTGCTTCCAAACACCCTTTTTACAGGCTTGGCATATTTTTCATGTCACAATATGATCCAGCTCTTAAATATTTTGCTAATAGATGCCATAAGAAATAAGTTCTAATCTGAAATTGTCTTCCTAATTTCTCCAGTAATGAACTTTTGATGTCACTACTGGGGCTCGTGGGTGCTGATACATAACAGTCCTCTTTCACTCCCATGTTTGGAATCAGTTGTAGGAATCATCAGATGGAGCTTAGAATATTGCCTTTGTTACTGATAAGATTACGTCAAAGAACGTAGCTTGACCAGTCAGGCTCCCTAACATTAGCTCCACGTGACTGAACAGTGAGCGCCTGATTCCTGAGGGACAGGCTCTTCCCTAAAGGAAGTAGGGCAAGGGTGAACCAGAGGAGCTTCTCTTTTTTTCCCCAGTCTTATCAGACTAATAAGTTACCCTTCTCCCTCAGGAGACGAACGCTTGGAGGGTAAAAGCAAAGCTAGGAGAAATTTTCTAGCAGAAATTCTTTCCACTGGAAACATGAAGGAAATGAGACATCCCTCCTAAAAGCCAGATTGATTATTAGTATTCCGTTTGTCAGGTTTCCCAGATTAAAACGAGGGATACTCTTCAGTAACCTAACATGACCGTGTTTTCTTTTGCTGTCCCACTTTCTCATTCATAAAGTAAAATAAGGTGAAATATAATTGGAAGCATTCATATGGGTAACTAGTTTTTAAGAAGTCAGCTTCACAAGTCTCAGGTCATGTGGCACTTTCTCAGCCAGGGTAAGCAGTTGTCTTTGGTTAGGCACAGCTAGTGCTCCCTCACCAGGCAGCATTAGATGGTGCGGAATCCAAGCTGGAGGAGCTCTGCTGGGCTTTGGATTGCATAGTGCCTCACATACTGGCAAGAGGTGCTGGCTCAGCAACCAAACGCACTGTGGCTGTGGTTTTCTCCCAGCATTCTAACTGAACGCACCCTGTTTTTGGCACACTGGTTAGCTTTAACTTCTCTAAGATCTAGCTGAGAACTTAAACAGTAATAGTAAAGACATCTCTTTCCCATTCCTTCCATGACATCACTTCTAAGCTGTGTTGTAGGAAGAGAAGGGTACTGAGTTCAAGCCCCAGTGTGCTTAGCCTGGTCCAGAAGGTTGAGAATGATGGGGGAGGAGTATGCTGCATGCGGGCTGCTCTGTCCTCTTCTCAAGATACTTTGCCTCCCTTACTAGGGCTGAGTCCAGTGGGATATGCTTTTAGTTAACCTCCCTTCCCTCTGCCAGAGACCCAGGGCCTAGAAGCTGCTCCAGAAGACTCCAATATGTATTTCCATCAGCCCAGTCATGCTGGTTATTATTTTACAAAGAAGTCTGTGATGTCCTTTTTTTTAATTTCTTTTCAATTCTACAGAACTCTCCCATTCCTGCAAAGCTTCCTGAACCAGTGAAAGCCAGTGAGGCAGCTGCAAAAAAGACCCAGCCAAAGGCCAGGTAAGAAAGGCCTTAGTGAGCACATGTCCTGCTCTGGGTGCTGCAGTAGCAGGGGAGGATGCCTGTGTTTCTACATTCTTATACTGCCATGGCCAGAGGCTGGCAGAACAGGCAAGCAAGCTCTGTCTCCCCTAGGCAGAAATTGTTCTTTGGGAGTGCAAAGAAGAATATAATGAAATACAGTGATCTACATTTGAAAGAGAATCAAGAACTCCACAGCTGGTTCCTTTGCTTGGGAATAGGCGCAGGGGCATTCAGAGATGAGGCAACAGCAGAGTTTAAATATTGCTAGTGTAAGTGTCCTAAATATGTGACCTGGCCTTTGTTTAGCCTCATTCACTACCCTAATCCTCCATCTCCCTTTCTTTCTTACTTTCTGTGGCTCTGGCCACGTTAGGAAAGTACAGATCAAAGCACTGAATCCATAAACAGTAAAAGAGCCTGTGGGTCTCAGCTAGTCACATTCTGTGTAACCTAGGGTCTTCAAGAAGCAGATGCCAAGAGAGGATTAAAGAAGCTAGGATTTATTTGGGGAAATGCCCCTGTGAGAGAAAATGGGGAGGGAGCCGGGGGTCCAGGGAAGGCTGGGAGAGCCAGCAGAAGGCGATGTAAGTGTGACTCAGAGAGAGGAAGGAGAAGTTGGATGGAAGTGACCTAGAAACTGCCACACAATATAAGGAAGGTTCACCCAAGGTGTTGGGGAGTCCTCAAGCCCGGTAGGCCACCCTGTCTCCCAGGAACAGGCCTGGCTTAATATCCCAGCCCCAGGGGCAGGCTGTGGGAAGCGTGGCCCCAGGGCAAATGTGGTAGATTTCGGGAGCGCAGCAGCTGGGGCACTTGGTCTCTTGCCCCGTTTGTAGCTGAAGGTCTGCGGGACACATCCTCTTGGCTGCCGTGCCTTCTAAATGGCAAATTCCCAGGGTGGCCAAGGAGATGTTTATACTCTTCTTTTTTCTACCACACTTCAGGACAAGGAAATGTTAGCAGCAAACTGTCAACAAAGTACCCTAGATGGGAATATGTGAATTTTAAAAGAACAGTAAAATAACTTCTGTATTTTAAAAAATTCTTTAATATTTATAGAATGCCTGCTGATGTGGCTCTAAAGTAATGAGACTTTGGTTTTTAATAAACTTAGCAAACTATATCCATGTTGTGACTTTGTGGTCTGTTTATTTCTTAGATAAATCTGCCATGCTCACCTCTGGGAATTGCTTTGGGGGCTGATTTAATTAACTTAGTATTTTGGATTTATGGCCTTCTTGTATTAGGCCCAAAAATGGTAGGTACTGAGGCTAGGCAAGGATCCATTCCCACAAAGCACACACATTTATAAAAACAATAGTAGCCACTAACATTTGCATGGTACTCTGTTGTGTAAAATCGAGAAAGTAATACCTGCATCATAAGGCAGACGTGAACATCGAATGCATCGATGACTATGAAATTGTTTTATAAACTGTAGAGTGTCCAAACTATTAGTTTATATGGACCTCAATAATGCTGCGAGAATACACAGACCTTATAGCCAAGAGATTTGGGTCTAAGTTGTCTTATCTATGATTTCTGATGATTTCATTCACATTATCGTATTTGCTCCCCAGTTCTGAGAGGTAGTTTTTCTTTCTAACCCTATTTTCCAAGTAGCCATGATTCATTGAGGCATCATGTATACCAGATACCATACTAGGAACTTTACATAAATAAGATGATGGTTTTTTCCCTTAAATGACCTGTGAGGTCATTGTTGTCATTCTCATTTTACGGACGAGGAAACAGACTCAGAATTATGAGTACATTGCCCAAGGTAGTTAGTCAATATGAGATTAAAAGAACCAGAACTGGGGCCAGCCCCATGGCAGAGTGGTTAAGTTCCCACGCTCTGCTTCCGTAGCCCAGGGTTTCGCTGGTTCGAATCCTGGGCGCGGACATGGCACCGCTCGTCAAGCCATGCTGAGGCGGCATCCCACATGCCACAGCTAGAAGGAGCCACAGCTAAAAATACGCAACTATGTACTGGGAGGGTTTTGGGAGAAAAAGGAAAAATAAAATCTTTAAAACAAAACAGAATAAGAACCAGAACTTCAGCATCCACACTCTTTTTTACTCTTGGTTAAGTGATTTGCCCAAGATCACACAGGTGTGACAACTTAGAGCCAGATCTCCTGGCTTCAAGGTCTGCATTTCTCACAGCATTATCGACGTCCATACAAACTAACATTTTGAGCATTCTCCAGTTTATGAAATGGTTTCACAGTCATTGATGTGTTTGATGTTCACACCTGCCTCATGATGTGGATATTGTTTTCTCCATTCTACACATGACGGACCCAAGGCTAAATGAGGTTAAATGACGTATCTATTACCACACAGTTGGTTAGTGGGGAATGAAGCTCAAACAGAGGTTTCTTTGACTTCAAATCCCATTGTCTCTAACATGTTATCTTGGGAGAAGTCCAATGTGGAAGTTCTTAGCATTTGGTTTTACAGAAGTCTGTTCACCTCCCTCAGCCTTAGCTTTATCTTTCCCAACATTTGTCCTATTTTCCTTCCCACCTCTCTTCCCTAGATTACAGCCTCCCCAAATGCGATAGCTTTTATATTCTCAGTTTTTCACCCAGCTCAAGAGCATCCCTCTAGCAGGATGACAGTGAAAAGCTTCAGGGTCCAGAATGGACATACCTGGGAGGTGTGTCATGAGGAAGGACATGGGCCAGGTGCTTTGCTTCCTGTTTTGCATTTCATGGAGGCTGTGCCAGACATATTTTGGAAATATCCATGAAACTTGTTTATTTTGGCCTTATCCTCAGCTACGCTCTCTAAAGTGCATTTTCAAAAGACAACCACTCTGATCTGAGTTAGGTAGTAGCCAGCTGCCTGGATTCTATAAATTAGGGGAAGTCACCACTAGGCTTTAGCACCATCACGAGATGCAAGCAGACCGCACAGCAGTCCTCCCTGTATTAATTTGGATTAGATTTGGCTGTGAGTTACAGAAAGTCCAAAATGACAGTGGCTTATATAAGACAGGTGTTTATTTTTTTCTCTCAAGTAAACCAAGTCTGGAGGTAAGTAGTCCAGGGCTATATGGCATTTCCACTCCATGAAGCTCTCAGGAGCCCAGGCTCTTCAAGCTCACAACTCTACCGTCACTATGGTTATGGCCATGACCTCATGGATCAATATGGCAGCATCCCTGTTCCAAGCAGCAGGATCAAAGAATAGCCAAAGAAGAAGAGCAACAAAGGGCATACACCAGTTATTTCTTAATGTTTCTAGAAACTGCCACATAACAACCTGCTTATATCCCATGTAGGGCCGGAACTTAGGCATATGGCCACACGTGATTGCAAGAGAGACAGGGCAATGTGTTTTTTACTCTAGGTGACCCTATGCTCAGCTCAAATTTTTTTATTGAAATATATTTAATAGATAACATTGAGTAAATTTAAGGTATACAACAACTAAAAATTTTATTACCATGGGAAAAAAGGGAGTATATGATTGGAGGAAATGGAGCTCCTGTCAATACTTCCCAAATCCTTTACCTTGAATTATTTACTTATTCCTTCTACTAGATCCCTTATTGGATTCACTCATTTTACATGCTTTTTATTGTAGAGAGACCATTTTGACAGCTAGCTCTAACCAAATTTGTGTTCCCTCTTCATCTGAAAACCAACTGCTTTAAACCCTTCTTTGCATCATCACCCAAAGTGTATTCTGGGAAATCCTAGAAATTAGGTAAAAGGGTTTCAAGGTCAAATAAGTTTGAGAAACACCACATTCTATATAGTATTCTCTTTGAGGTTCTCCATGCACATGCACACGTGAAAAGTTCTGCTGGAAAAAAATCTGCTTGATATATTTTATTGAGTGTTTCAAAACTTATTTACCCATGAAGGCTTTATTCATAACATCTAAGTACCTATAACTGTGGAACACTGTTTGGGAAATGTCAGTTAAGTGGATCTGGAAGGTTTGGATGAGTATGGAGGGGAAAGCTAATCCATCATGTACTCTGTCTACTCCCCTGTTTTCCGACTCTTTCACATGAATCTTTTTTTTTCTTTTCCTTTTCTAGACTGACAGATCCCATTCCCACCACAGAGACTTCAATTGCACCCCGCCAGAGGCCTAAGGCTGGGCAGACTCAGCCGAACCCAGGAATCCTTCCCATCCAGCCAGCCCTGACACCTCGAAAGAGGGCCACAGTTCAGCCCCCACCTCAGGCTGCAGGTCAGTAACTAGGTTGATTTGAAATTTGGTACACCTCTTTGTTACTATGGGTAATAGAGAAGTCTTGGAAAGCCTGGTTTTACTTTGGGAATAGAATGCAGAGGCGCATAAAGAATAATGGTTTTCCTTAAGCAACAGGAGGTGAGCTGCCATTGAAATTGTATAGCAAGAGGCTGGCAAAAGGGGAGACCTCTCATTGAATTCTGTGGAGAATCTCCAAGACCACTGAAGCCTGTTGTCTCTGTTTTTTTCTAGTCTTGGCCCTGATTTTGTGGTTTGGTCCATTCATCCCATACCTACCTCTTTATCTCGTATACTTCTCTTTGCCTTTAAAGAAAGAAGACTCACCTCTTTTTGACATGGAGACATTGTTTCTTTAATGTTCTGTCTCTTGAAGTATCTGTCACTGCTCCATGTTCTGGTATTCTGTTTCTAATGAGATGGCTGAGTTTAGTTTCATAAAGAGGATCGATCCAAATTATCAAGTAACTGAACTCAGCCATCACTTCCCCAACCTGGAAGCTACTTTTTGTGAATTTAGTGGCCATCTACTTACAGCAAGGCATCCAGACTGAGATTGTGTAACCTACATGTGAAACATCAAAGAATGCTTTTATCCTGCAACCATGCCAACAAGTGCCAAGATTGTGTTTATATACAGTAGCATCAAAGGCCAGTTGAATATGTAGATACTCAGGGTGCTGACTAAAGGAGTAATTGACTAAATGGGGTGGTGAATAAGGGAAGACTTTCTGAAGGAGGCAAGATTTGAACCCTGTTATTGAACCTTGTTTTGAAAAGTAGGAAGCCTGTAGTTTGGCAAGAAGGAAGGACCTTCCAGGTGCAAGGACGATGAGCAGCACATGGATCTTGGGATTATCTGTCCACTTATTACCCGCTCTTTCTTGCTTTGGCAAGAAAGAAAGCCATTTTTGTCTTAAAAAGTTTTGAGCCCTTAAATGGAGTTTATTCTCATTGCAGGATCCAGCAATCAACCTGGCCTTTTAGCCAGTGTTCCCCAACCGAAAACCCAGCCCCCACCCAGCCAACCTCTACCACAGTCTCAACCCAAGCAGCCACAGGCTCCACCTGCCCCACAGCAGCCGCCTTCCACTCCGGCCCAGGGTCTGCCTACTCAGGCCCAGGCGACACCCCAGCACCAGCAGCAACTCTTCCTCAAGCAGCAGCAGCAGCAGCAGCAGCAACAACAACAGCCACCGCCACCATCACAGCAGCCAGCCGGCACGTTCTACCAGCAGCAGCAGCAGGCCCAGGCTCAGCAGGTAAGGTGGTCAAAGTCTGACCCTTGCTTTGGCTATCTGAGTCGTCACTGTGAGAACGCCCACTAGGTACAGGCGTCTTCCTTGGGAAGCCCTGGGAAGTCAGCTGTTTACCGTTGTGTCATTGCTTCTCACAGATGTAAATACTAAAGCATTGCGTAGTGGAGAAATCACCGGATCGCTCGCTCTCCTTTCTCCTTTCTTCTCAGGCCACGGGGAATTCTCTACATGATTGAGGAACCTCAGCGAGGAAGCTATTTTTTAAGGACTCTTTTTTTCTAAGATAACTCAACACCATTATCATACTGAAATAAATAATAATAATTTCTTATTATCATCAAATATCCAGTAACTTTCTGATGTCTCATAATTTGAGTTGGCTTGTTTGAATCAGGATCCAAATAAGGTCCACATACTCTATTTAGTTGTGATACATCTTTTTTCTCCTATTTTAATGTATATTTTCAGTTTTTACTATGAACATACTCATTTTATAATTATAGATATATCTTTTAAGTCCTCCCTTTATCCATAGGTACCTTCACCATCTTTTTTTTCCTCCTTTGCCATTTAATTTTTTGAAGAAACTGCGTCGTTTGTCCTGTAGAATTTTCCACATTCTGGATTTGGCTGCTTTCCTCCCTGTGGTGTCGTGTAATATGTTCCTCCATCCTCGGTGTAAACTGGTAATTTCTTGAGGCATGCTCAATAATCAATTCAGTTTAGGAGTTCTTTGTTCTTCCAGTTGCATCATATCAGGAGGCATATCATGTCTGGTTGTCCTCTCTTTTATTAACATTAAGATCAATCGGTGAGTTTGGTGTTGTCTGTCTGATCTATTCATTTAATGTGTCCCATCAGCTTAGCAGCCATTGCTGATCATTTCCTAAGTCCAGTAATTCATTAGGGATGGCAAAATGGTGATATTCTGGCATTCCCTCTTCACTTAGGGCTGGAATTTTTCTATGAAGAACTTTTTTCATCAACTATTTATTACCCTAAGGTATTGTTTGTAAGGAAAGGCAGGAAAAGCTGATTGATTCTTTCCCTGTGTTTACCACTTTTCAGAATAATGTGTTTGTTCCTAGTGTTATCAAAGGGTAAACAATGTTTTTGTTTTGTTTCTTTTGGTATCATTATGAACTCATGGATTTTAACATATTTGATACGTTTCCAGATATTGATGTTTTAAAATTTTTATTTATTTTGATGCTCAAATTGTCCCAACTTTGGCCAATGGATGTCTCTTAAAATTGGCTCATGAGTCCTTTGGTGGTGACTCCAGCAGTCTTTAGTGGTTTCCTTGCCATTTAGTGTGACAAGCTGTTCCAGGCTCATTCTGCCCTTGACGTGGAATCAGCCATTTCTCTAAGGATCTCCATTTCCTTTTAATGGAAACGGTATTTAGAGACCACAGTCTTAGTGCTGGGGATACTCATTTGCTAATGGGTTGGTTATTGGTTTTAGGCCTTTTCAGTGGACTGTTAGGAAATATATGTTGTTTTGTTTTTTGGTTCGTTAATAGAATATACATCATGAATTCAAATTTATATCCTTAATTCAGATTTGTAATTACAGGATTTTTTGTCTGACTTCCTGAATTTTATATTTCTGTTTTTTTAATCTGGAAATCTTGATTCCTAAGAACATTAACGTAATTACTTAATTGATTTATAGTTTCAAGATAACAATACCAATATGATTACTGAAAACAGTTTAAGATTTCTTTGCCTTTTTTACCCTTAGAGTGTTTAGCTCACTATTTCCTGGGGAGTTTGGCTATCAGTTTGATACACAGGTTTATTTTCTTTATTTTGCTTTTGATTTTTAGTTACTGCTTTTTCAGTTTTGGTTTAATTTTGTTTTGTGAAAATGTAAAACACTTACGTGGTTTCAAAATTAAGTCTGTAAAATTCTATCCCCTCCATCCCATATATAGAGGTAGCCCTCCTTCCTATTTACAACTTGAGAGTGTTCCCTTTTAAGGAAATATAGCTCATTTATTCAGTCCATCCACTGTTGACAAACACTTGGTTGTCCAGCATTTTGTGGTTGTAAATAGGCAGCTATTTATCGACATCTGCTTCTTTGTTAACCCTTTAACTTTGTCCCAGTAGGCAAACAGTATCCTCTCAGTTAACTCTATAACTAAGTACTAGTATTTGGGATGTTCAAAGATAAGATCTTGATTTTTGTTCATCAGTAGGCCTCTGTTTGACCTCTGTGTGCCCAGCACATAGTCCTTAGCTGTGGAGTGTAGAGACATATAGAAGTATCCCTATCCTTAGGAAGTTTAGAAGAGAATATAACTTGAAACAATTAGTTATCAATATAAGATAAATGTCATTAAGTGTAGTCGAGTATACTGAATATTTTGAATGTCTAAAGATGGGAGAGTTAATATAAGAGAGAGCTATTGGGAAATAATTTTCAGAAAGACTTGAGATGACTCTTAATAGCTGGGTTAACATTTAGGTTATTCTATCAATGTCATCATTGCTTCTTCCTGTTCATGTAGGGAAGCATTTTAATCTTGGCTACATCCAAATCTCTTTATAAAAGGCATTACTTCTGTGATTGGGAGCTCATTTATTAGTTTCTGTTACACTCCAGTATGTGGAGTCACAAGATGTGTAGTCAGATGGATGCCTTTAGGCCGGGCATAGAAACCCAGCTGGAAGCCAGCCTGCAGTGCAAGAGGCAGGATAGTGCAGTAGATGCAGCCTGGCAGTGTAAGGTGCTGCTGTGTTTATTTTGATGCCTTAAGGTTCCCCTCATGAGTTTTCAGGCCATACTAAAAGACTTCTACCTACCCTTGCCTTTGGCTACAGCACTGGTCTTAGTTGTTACTGAGACATTTGTTGTTTGTGGAATTTCGTTCTGAGACAGGCTTTTATTCACCTCCTCATTTCTTGCCGCTTTCTCCTGCTCAGTTTCAGGCAGTACACCCAGCAACCCAGCAACCAGCGATTGCCCAGTTCCCTGTGGTATCCCAAGGAAGCTCTCAACAGCAGCTGATGCAGAACTTCTACCAGCAGCAGCAGCAGCAGCAGCAGCAGCAACAGCAGCAACTGGCCACAACCCTACATCAACAACAGCTGCTGACTCAGCAGGCTGCCTTGCAGCAGAAAACTGCTGTGGCGGCAGTACAGCAGCCCCAGGCACAGCAGACCACAGCCCCGCAGCCACCCCCGGCCCAGGAGCCAGCAGTAAGAATCACGCAGGGCTCAGAGTGCAAAAGCAGGAGAGGAGCGTGCAGTGAGGGCTAGGGAAAGGGTGAGAAAGAGCAGTAGCTGGTGAGAGGCCTCTGGATTAGGGCTAGGCTGTTTCCTCACCCTCGTGGTTAAAACATTTGATCTTTTCTTGATATATCCAAGAAAAAGATGAGATATTCTCTAGAAGGTAGAAGTTTTAAAAAAATGACTCTAGGCTGCTAATGAAGATGAACATTATTTATCACTCTAAAATTAGGCTGGCAGAAAGAGCTGTTCATTGTCTCTGTCAGGGCAAGTGTTGAGCAGTCAAGGACCTAGGCAGGATTAGAGCTAATCCCTTTCCCTTCTTCAAGGGGCTATTTGACTACTGTGGCCTTTCCTGTCTCTGGATTCTTGTGGGTCCCCATCTTTACCCTGAGTCCTGAGAGTGTTATGTTTATTCTTCGTCTCGAACAACATTACACCACCTCATTTAAGTCTAACGTACAGCACCCTTCAAGGGTCTGCTTGCTGGGGCTATTTACCATGGCCTAATCCCTGTGAGCACCAGAGCATCTGGAGTAATGTTTCAGCCATCTTGTCAATTTAGAAATTGGACGTGTCCACTTCTGGATAGTGGCTGAGTGTCGCATCAGAACCCCTGCATCCTCTCCTGATTGACCTTTACCGTTTCAGCATCCTCAGGCACATTGCGCTATGGCCTTTAATGAGTGCCCTTAATTCTGTTCTCATATATTTCTGAGTGATAGTGATAGAAAATCTTACAGTGATAGAAAAAGGCGTTTTACATACCGAACAGATCCAGTATCACAGCCACTCTCTTATTCCCAGGGAAGTCCAACTTCTAGATGAACGAAGGAAAAGTAAGAAACTGTCTTTCTGAGGATTGATTTCTGATAGAGTTTTGTTGCCTTTCTTAAACCGGAAAACCTACATCCCTTCAAAAGGAAGCAGTGCCGTAGATAGATTGCCTTCTTTAAGTCTCAGCTAAGAGTGTGTTCAGTGTCTTTATACCTTTGTTTAAGAAACAGCTCATGGGCTGGCCCGGTAGTGCAGCAGTTAAGTTCGCATGTTCTACTTCGGCGGCCCTGGGTTCACCAGTTCAGATCCTGGGTGTGGACCTACGTGTCACTTGTCAAACCATGCTGTGGCAGGTATCCCACATATAAAGTAGAGGAAGATGGGCACAGATGTTAGCTCAGGGCCAGTCTTCCTCATCAAAAAGAGGAGGATTGGCAGCGGATGTTAGCTAAGGGCTAATCTTCCTCAAAAAAAAAAAAAGAAACAACTCAGCCTTCCTGCAGGCATGTGGTAGACATCTACTCTGTCTTTTTAACAAGAGATAAAGTTTCTCTTGTTAACGGAAAAAGAGTTTTAAAGAAATTATTGTATGGTGTAGTGAGTTAAGATCTTAATTAGCTAGTCTAGTTGCCTCATTTAATGGAATTGGAAACTGAGGCCCAGACTAGACAGTGATTACCCCAGCTACACAGACTGATAGCAGCAGAGCTGGGGCAAGAACCAAAGACTCCTGCTCTGTGTTCAAGGGTGATAATGACAAATGCCCATCCAGGGTGATGGAGTGACCAACTGCCACTGCACTGCTTATGAGGTTCCCTCTGCTTTCCCTGGACAAAAGTATCCATTCTCCTGTGAATGAATTGTAGAACTTCTCCATGTTCCTTGGGTGAAAAAGTACCTTGAGCACTTTGCTCAGGGATAGTTGGTTGAGGGGATGGAGAGGGAGTGAGAGCAGAATGTGCTTCAGCCAGGAGTCAGAGAGCTTCCCAGCTTTGACCATCCCTTTCTCTAATGACCCAAGGCAGGACTTACCTAGAGAAGAGAGTGAGTGAATGTGAAGTATACCCTGCAGCCATCCTAAAGCAATAATCTGCAAAGGGAAAACGGCCACACGCCATAGATGTTTATTGCCGTCTTATTAATAATAGCCAAAAGAATGGAAGCAACGTAAATCGTTCAAGAACCAAACTGTGCAGCCATTAAAAATCATAATTAGAAAGTTTGTACAAAGTAGAAAATACTCATAAAGTAATGTTAAAAGAGATGTGAAAGAGAAGTAGCTACTTAAAAGAAACTTAAATGGAAAATACCGAAAAGATAAAAACAGCTGTATTAGAGTGATAGAATGAAGTCTGGGTGGTTACCCCCCTCTGCGCTATAGTCTTACATTCCTTGATGTGATTGTATACCTTTAATTATGTATTTTGTTTTTAAAAAAAATCTTCAGCAAGGTGGACATCTGAGTCTCCCTTTGCTTCTCCTTCTGTGGTCAGTGTCTCCCTGCTCCCCGTCCCTAATCCCATCTTTGGATGAGGAGGCATCATGGTGCAGAAAAGAGAGTCCTGAGCTGCAGTCAGGAGATGTGGATTCTGTCCCCAGTTGACCCTGTGACCTTGGGCAAGCACTTAGCCTCAGGGGGCCTTGGTTTCATCTCCTCTAAAGCCAGACAGTTGGAATTCATGTTTTCTAAGGTTTCTTTCAATGTTCGTATTTTTAGATTCTAAATGGAAATGAAGCTGTCTGCGTGACAGGGTTGTTGTGAGGAGTATGAAGGGTTTGGAGCCACTTTGTATTAGTAGATTGCTGTGATAGGGAAATTGTGCTCCTGATGGAAGCATCTATTCTTCAATGTGCCACATACAGAGAATAGGTAAGAGCAGGGGAAAATATTTTCTAAGTCTGGACCCTTCAAAAAAAAGGAACTCAACAGTTAAGTACCCTTTGCAGAGTAATGAGTGTCTTAAACTCCAAGAAATAAGCAAATCTAGTTCTGTCCTTAAAGCCCCTCTGGTTCCTGAGGGTACTGGCTTTAGGTTGGCTCTTGTAGGTACAGCACTGGACCCCTGATGGAAGTTGTGGAGCTGAAGCTGTAGTCCTCACAGAGTACTCTGCTTCTCCCTCAGAGATGCGGTCAGCTGCTTTACCCATCTAACCTCAGTCTGATTGATACTAGAAGCTTATATTGTGTCCTTCAGCCTATTGGTGAAGTGATTGTGTCCTCACACATGCACGTAGCCTGTCTCAATAAAATTCAAAGTCTGAGTCAATGTAAGGACAGAAAATCCCAGGCTGTCAGCATCCTGGCCCAAGTAGCTGGACTCTCTGGTTTCCCTCATCTCTCTCAGAACCTACCTGCGAAGACAGAATGTGGGAACTTAGCTGCACCATGGAGGGGCAGCCCTAATCTGAGATGAACCACTGGAGGGAAGGGATAGTTAAATACCCGAAATGTTTAACATTCTAAGTCATTTTATCTTTGGATTGATAGAGTTAAGGAAAAAGGTTTGGTGGCCTTCTAAACGTTATTTGTTCATTTTCTTCATATAGCACTTTGTAGAGCATGACTTATGCTTAAAGACTAACCATGTGGCCACAAGGATGTTCCCACCTGTTTGTTTTTCTATAGTGACAGTTTGTCCTATCTTCTGAAAATGACCCACATCTCAAGAGTCCATGTGTTCTTAGATCAGTCATCATCAAGAGTTTTTAAAATTTTTTCTTCTTTCTTGTTATATTCTCTACCTGGTTCTTCAGTGCCATTTCCATACTGAAGATTGGAAGAAGTTAATCCCACTGCCCCAGTGCTATACATTTTCTCAGGGGTTACCACAGAAATAAATCTCGTAGACCCATCCTGTCAATGAAATAAAGAGCTGTAGTAACAAAACAAAACAAAAAAGCACTACCATTTGTTAATTTCAGTGTAATGTTATCTAACTTATTCCTAAGTAGTAGTCTAAGCTATGTCAGAGAGTCGGGGATCTCGTAGCAGAAATCATTCAGCTGAAATGTGTTTTAGCTGGAGATGTGCCTTCATTGGCTTCTGACTGTGGTAGTAGAATGCTGTGGAGACGTTCGAACCAGTTCCTGTGTGACCTCGGAAGCAGAAAGTGGTCCTTTAGGATATAGTCTAGATCATCTTTAGAGCTGGGAATAACTTCTGTAGTCTTATGCTCTGGGTTGAATTGTATATGGTTACCCTGTATATTGTTGCTGATGAAGATTAAAATTTATGTATAAGCACCAGATAAATGCCATGTTGGTATCAGTCCCAAAGTTGCAGCTCAGATTGTCAAAACTTATTTTTTTTCTTTCTGGGCATTATTGGTAAACTCAGCCATTTGAATTCCCATGTTAGCTCTCATGTGGCATTTTTTGTTATGCTTGCCTGTTTGTTTTTCCTTTCCCCTTTTTTTGAAACATTTTTCATCTCTCTTCCTAGCAGATTCAGGCCCCAGTAAGACAACAGCCAAAGGTTCAGACAACCCCACCTCCTGCCATCCAGGGGCAGAAACTCGGATCTCTCACTCCTCCATCATCCCCCAAGACCCAGCGTGCTGGGCACAGGCGGATTCTCAGTGATGTAACCCACAGTGCAGTCTTTGGAGTCCCTGCCAGCAAATCAACCCAGCTGCTCCAGGCAGCTGCAGCTGAGGCCAGTCTCAATAAGTCCAAGTATGTGGTGCTTCCCCTTTATCCTTCTTTCTTTTATGGGTGAAGTCTGCCATGGGCTGTTACTGTGTGATTCTTTGCATATGTATGTAGATATATGTGAAGTGGTATAGATGCATATGTAGTGGTGTGTGTCTGTGTTTTAATAAGAAGCTGAATTTGCCTGTGGTGCATAAACCATACTGGTCTTAAGAAATAATTTTCTACTTGCCTCTCTGTTTCCATTCTCTCATCCATTCCATGCTCTACAGAATATTTTCTAAACTCTTGATCTGACCATGTCTTTCCATGCTGAAAATCTTTCATTGGCTCCCCATTGCCTGAGGGGTAGTATCTGAACTCACCAGTTAACAGACCAAGGCCTGTGGTATCACATTGGTGGACTTGCAATTCTCCATCTTCACCAGTGCTTTATTCATCCTATGCTCTGTCGCTTAACTGCCACTGTCCTCCTTGTCCACTGAGGATATACTTATTTATTCATCAAGATCTGTGTCAGAGGTTACCTATTCTTTGACCCTTCCTCTGGTGTCATACGTAATTTTGTCTGAACCTTTTTTTGAGCATGTATCACACTGTACTATCGTTATTTATTGGCAAGTGTGGCTGACCTAGCCTGTGAGTTCCTCCAAGACAAGGACCATGTCTTAATCAACCTTTGTAAATCCAGTGACTGGCTCTGTGCCTGATAGAAAGTAGACCGCAATGAGTGTTTGTTGAGTAAATGCAGTTTCAGACCTTCAGCTTTCTTGGAACCATGCACTCTAAAGTTAAAAATCTTGATGTCATTAGCTAAATGCAAAGGGCATCAAGAGAGACTTTAGAAGAAAATTAGCTAATGATACCTAGAAGCACAAGATAGTGGTATCTGTCTTTATTTCTGTTTAACTGTGATGATGGCAACTGATGGTGGTCTTTAATTCTATGCATGCTACATCCTAATAGGTGGGAGGCAGCCTGAGTAGGCATCAGTCCCAGCCCCTCTCGGGTCAGTTATTCTGATGTCATAGTGGGCACTACAGAATGCACAATCCTAAGAACAAGTTGCTTTAGGATCCTGAATTGAAAGGACTTACAGACAAGACCAAAAGTCTAAGCAAAAGATTAAAGAGATAGTGGGAGATAGTGAATTGTGAAAGAAAGGGAGATATTTATTTCACGCAGTGGAAAGAGTGTCTCTGGAAACTGTTCAGTTGCCATGGAAAGCCCTTTTAGAAAACCACTGTGGAAAATAACGGTCTGACGCAGAAAGAATTTGATCTTGAAACCAAATAGATTGACCGTTTTCAACTTTTATATGTCTTTTTATTTCTCGGGGGTGGGAATCTTTCTAGGTCTGCAACCACCACTCCATCAGGCTCTCCTCGAACCTCCCAGCAAAATGTTTATAATCCTTCAGAAAGTTCTACATGGAATCCTTTCGATGATGACAATTTTTCCAAACTGACAGCTGAAGAACTGCTAAACAAGGACTTTGCCAAGCTGGGGGAAGGTGAGTAATTGGTGTCTTTTTGTGACTCTCGAACCTTAACTCTAGAGAGGAGTATGCATGTGAAAACTAGGCTGCAGTCTTCTTTCCCTCAAAGGCTTGATTTTGAAGTATGAGTGCAAATTGCTTTGTATGTTTACCAGAGCACTGAAGTCTTTTCATCCTCAGGAAATCCTGGCCTGTGGGTGGCAACAAGGAGAATGAGAAAGTTTTAGGAAAAATTCAGTAGCATAGATCAGAATGATAATATCAAACACAGTCACTTTTTGGAGGAGTGTGATGGTTCCCTTGTCCTAAGTGGATTTATTGTCCCAGAAAGTTGTAACTGCTTACCCATGAGAATCCTTGACTGTGATCAGAGTTCTATATTGCTCTTGACTGACCATGGAGAGGAGATCAAATAAATAGAAGGTGCCATTTCTGCCCTCAAACCCACAGTCTGATTTGAGAGGCAGGACACACAGACACAGGCACACACTACACACTTTGGAAAGCAGCAGCTCACACCCTGGGAAAATTCCACAATGTGGTACAGTTTGAAAAGAGTACCTCAGTGTAGACAAGCGCACTGGGTAAAGAAACGATTACAACCAAGTGAATGATATGAACTTGACTGAACATTTAGCTTTAACTATTATTTTATAGATATCTTTTAAAAATCTGTATTACTTTCTTGCCTTTTTAAACAGAAGATAGGGCACAGGATTTAACTTTCTTTGAAAACTTGTTGACTTATTTCATTGTTATTTGTGCCAGTTATTGTTCTAGACTATAAACAGAAATACCTTCAGGGGCTATTGAAAAAGGTGGTATTTTTGCACTCAATTAAGTGACCCCCCCCCCCCCCCCCCAAGTTTTTAAATTCTTGTGTCTGTTTTTAGTAGTTTCCTGTCTTCTTGTTCAGCTGTTAGCTCTCACTTGAAGCTGCTGTCGTTGTGCCTGTCCCTCAGAACCTCTCACGGCTGCCATCTCCACCACTCCCTCTTCTCATTAGCTCTTCTCAGCTGCTGCCAACATGGAAAACAGATCATCAAACTCCTCAGAATTATATAAAAATAAGTAGACTCAGAGAGAAAGCTGGAGGCATTCTGCCTTGAATAATGTGCTTGAGCTTTAGGGCTTAGCACTAGCTGACATTTTTGTTGTTTTTTATTTATTTTTGATTATGGTAAAATATACATAGCCTAAAAATTACAGTCATAAGCATTTTTCAGGGTGCAGTTCAGTAGTGTTAATTACATTCACACTGTTGTGGCCCCGGTCTCTAGAACCCTTTTCATCTTGCAAAACTGATGTGCCATCTCTTCTGATTCTTAAAACTTCCTTCATTTTCTTGGCTATTCTCTTAGTTATTGCACTGACTCCTAGACAAGGACCTTTAAGTAGCTGAGCTGTTGCTATAGTGCAGTAAAAGGAGTCAAGTCTAGAAGTCGGTCTGGAGGGTGCCCTTGGGATGCATCATGGGACTCTACTGGAATGAGCTGAGTGGTGTTTTGTCCTTTCAGGCAAACATCCTGAGAAGCTTGGAGGCTCAGCTGAGAGTTTGATCCCAGGCTTTCAGCCCACCCAAGGTGATGCTTTTGCCACTGCCTCGTTTCCTGCTGGAGCCGGTTAGTATGGCAGACACCTGCTACACAAGACTCACTGTTGTCACCTTCACACTGTTTTCCACCCCACAGCATGTCAGTGAGCCCCAAATCCTGGTGGTAACTTATGTTTCCCCCTCAAAAGAGTTCTAATAAAAAAAGGATAGAGAATGATCTAGAATCACCTTGAATTAAAATGACAGGATGATCTGGCAGCAATATACAGGATTTGTTGTCTCTAGTCACACAGATGTGTTTTAAGCAAATCTTTCTAAATTTGATGAACATCACTCAGTTGATCTCTCGTAATTGCCTAGGTTCTTTGGAATGACTTGAAGAATTCTAAGAATTAGAAGTTCTATCCTACATCTGAGACTCCGCTAAGCTGTGTTTTTGTGCATGCGTGTGTGCTTACGGAGAGGGAGAGAGGTGTCTTTTTAAATGAGACTTTAAAATTATAGAACAATAATAAAAAACTAATTTTCCCTTTTATTAATAAAAAGTATACATGTTTATTATATAAAAGTTAGTAATTTATAGAAAAGCATAGAGAAGAAAGTTAAAATCTCTATGATCTCACCACTGAGAAATTAGCACAGGGAGCCCATTTTGATGTCTGTTACTGGCATTTAACCTTTTTAGGGTCACAGATATCTTTGTGAATCTAATGAAAGTTATAGATCTTCTCTCTCACAAAAATACGTGACCACAATTTTGTACACAATTTTTGGCCTCAACTTGAGACTATAACATGCGTCTTTATAGTCATATTTTAAAACTTAATTTTTTCACTTGATAAATCTTGCACCTTTCCCCCACATCATTAAAGAAGCTACTAAAATATACTTTAAAAATATCTGCATTAAATTCTTTTATATGGATATTTCCTAATGTATTTAACCAAGTACCTCTTTTTAATCATTAATTTGATGTCAGTGTTTTACTATTATAAATTCCTCAGCAATGGACATGAGGTTTTGAATATATTCTTTGTAAGATATGGAATTTGATATACTTCTAAAATTGATCTTTTTAACTTTATTGATTAATTTTTGCTTTTAACCTTATATGTTCTTTCTGCTTTCTTCAGGTGCATAAATAGATTTTCTAACCTCATAGATTTATTTCTGATTATAACTTTGGCTGTTACTCCATAATATTTGATATATCATGCTCTCTTATTCTCATTGTTTTCTGGATGTTTTTAAATTGCAATTTTGATTTCTTGTTTTGCCCAAGAGTTGCTTAGGATATACTTTGATTGCATTGTGTAAGAGTACCTATGCAGTTTTTGCTTTGGGGTATTATGGAGGAGCTTTCTGTAGCCCAGTTTATTATTCATTTTATGAACATTATATGGGAATTAGTAATTTTCCATGTCAACAAATATTAATCTACAACATGATTTTTAATGGAAGAATAGTAACAGTGCATTAACATCCCCTTTGATGAATAAGTTGTTACTCATTTTTCACCATATAAACATTCTTGAAGCTAAATTTTTGTTTATATCCTTTACAGTTTCTTTAGGATAACTTCTAGGGGATTATTTGCTAAATCAAAAGATATGTGTATTTTTAGGGCTTTTGGTACATATTTCCAAATTGCCCTCCAAGCATGCTATATAAATTTTTTTCCATCAGCCGTGAATGAGAGTAATTTTTGCTCCCATTTCCCCATTCATCCCAGCTCAGAGACTATAGACAGGACATTGTTTGCTGCCCATTTTTATTTCTTTTGGAATTTGTATTGTTCATATCTTTTGCCCTTTTGTTTGTTTTGGGGGTGTTTTTTTCTTTTTGATGTTCTGTGTTCATTTGTTCTTATTAATTTGTAAGAGCTTTTCATATGTCATATATTGTAAACATTTTCCCCAGTTTGTCATTTCTCCTACACGAGTGTTATCTCATCTGACCCTCTCAACAACCTTTTGAGGTTCGTGCATCATCCCCACGTCAGTTACCGTTGAGATAACTGAGCACAGATTAGTCTCTTTTCTAGGGTCACATGGGTAGTAAGTGACAGAGCTGGAACACCAACTGTCTGGCTCTAGAACTTCTTCCCTTATGTTTTCTACCACATAGTGAGGCAAATTTAGTAATATTTTCCTAGAAAATCATCTGCAGTTTTAACGTTTTTAAAATGAAAGAGAACAATACATTTAAATCTTAGAGTATTTTCTTTGTCTACATCAATTTTAATTGTATGTGTTTGTGTTCCTCTTTTTCTTGGTAAGAGCTCGCGATCTTCTGTTTATTACCTTTCAAAGACAACTCTTAGATTTATAAAATATCCTGTATTTTCTGTCTTGTAATTCTTTAGCTTTCGATGTTATCTTTTTGATTATAGTTCCCTGTTTTTCTTAGGTTTGCTTTGTCAATATCAAGAGGAATATACAGTCAAATTTTTAAAAATTCTTTTAAAAAACATAATAAAAGTATTTAGAGTTTTTCTCCCAGTAAAACAGTAGTTTTCAACCATCCTGAGAGTGGGGAGGGTGGCTAATTATAATATCCGGGAGGGCTTTTTCACAGATATTCCAATATTCCCTGCTTCTCCCTCCAATTGCCACCCCACCCCAACCTTTGAGGATTACACTGTTTATTGAGAGTGCTTTCTGTTAGGTGTGCGTTTCCCTCATTAGAAAAAAACTGAAGTTTTAACCATATCCCATAAGTCTGCATATGATGTTCTCATTGTTATTATTTTGGAGTAGGTATTGAAGTTATATGGGAGGTATGCTTTTTAATATTAAATAGTTAAAAAAATTTTCTGTGTTATTTTTCATTTTTAGCTTTGTTTTCTGGTCTAGGTAATATTTTAATTTATTGATGTTCTGGTCTAGTTTAAAGTGCTTAAAGTTTGATAGGCCACGTAGTTGACAATGTGCCAAATGTATGAAGCATTGACCATCGTCCTTGAGGTAGAGCATCACGATAATGACCAGCTGTGGTACTGGGTAGGATGTAGTTTCCTTGGAAGGTGGGTGGGGAATGAAATAAGCTCTAGGAGAGCCTTCTTTGCTACTGCATCCCAGCTTTTAGTACAGTGTTTGGCTCAGTACACGTCTGTTAAATGAATGAGAAGGGTTGCTTTTTGCCAAAGGCTGGGAGCTTGGATTCATCAGTGTTGATAACAGAGTCCCTAATCATTTTTCATCCACTCCCAGGTTTAATGCCTAATTCTTACTTGTCACACATGGTCATGTTTTGTTGTTTATTTGTCTGTATGAGCTATTTTTTAAAGAGTTGTTTTTTGTTTTTGCCTCTTCTACCCCTTTATGCTTACTTTGAAGACCATAAATGGCAGTATTTTTTTTAAGGGACTTAAAGACCCCAGCCATAAAAAACATATATTTGAGTAAAGTTATGACAGTAATAACAGTGAACATATATTGAGACATGCGCCAGGCTAAGCCCAGTGGGTAAGTGCTTTTTTGCGCATTATCTCAGGTGATCCTCACCATCGCTGTGAGAGGTCACGTGACCTGCCCAAGGTCACAGCTGGAAAATAACAGAATGGGGATTTGTATGTGGAAAGCCCAGCTCAGAAACTGTAGTCATTACCATATCTCCTGAATCTTGTAAATCAGTGTCATTAAACATTATAAAATGTCTTCACATCCTCCTCATTTTATCCAGCCTTTTTTAATGAACACTTGGTATTTTGCCTTCTTTCTTGTTAGAAATGTGAAGGTTTTTTTTTCTGCGACACATTCTTTCTTTCCAAATGAAAGAAAATTATATCTAAATCCCAGAAATTAATGTGTCCTCATTTTCTGCAAGTTTTCTAATCAAGCTCAGGCTGTTCACTGATTTTAAAGCTTACCAACCGAGGGAGGAAATAAGCTGGAAATCTGGTACTGGATCGGGAAGGATGGCACAAGGACTATTTTAAAAGTCGCAGAAGTGTTGTTGAACTGTGTCCATGTACTGGAGGCAGACGTCTAAAACTTGACATTGTGCCACTGTATTTAAAATATTTTTCCGTTGATAAGTTATACATATTCATTTGTAAAATTTTGGGAAAATAACTAGAAGCAAGATAAAAGAATTCATGACCTCACTCTAAGAAGAAAGCATTGCTGACATTTTATACTATTTATATCCATAATTTCATTTCTGCATGTATACTTTTTTCAAAAATGAATTATATATTGTTTTATAATTTGTTCTTTTTCTTTCAATATATTTTATCATGTCTTATTTAAAAATATTTCAGAGACTTAAAAACAGTGATTTTACCCTTCTCTTCCTCCATCTACCTTTAAAGAAGCTTAAAAACCCACTTTAATACCATCTTTGAAATGACAAAATTACAGAGATTGAGAACACATTAGTGAATTCCAAGAGATGGGGACAGGAGTAAGGAGTGGGTGTGACTGTAAAGGAGTACAACGAGAGAGTTGTTTTGTTTGATGGAACAGTTCTGTATGCTGCTTGTGGTGAAGCTTACTCTAGTCTATACATAGGCTCTGATTGCAAGGAACTACACACACACACACACACACACACACTCTCACAAATGGGTGCATGTGAAAACTGAATAAAGTGTAGTTAACAGTACTATGCCGGTGTCATTGATTTACTACGACAGTTGTAGAAGATCTCACCATGGAGGGAAGCTGGATGAAGGGTTCGTTCGACTTTATTTACAACAGCTTCCTATGATTCTGTAATTATTTGAAAATAAAAAGTTTTTTCAAAATCCACTCTATAGAGGGAAAAATGAAACTTGTAATTAATGAATAAACAATATTAAAAATGCAGTGTAAAGAATGGTAAAGTAGAAACCAGGAGACCTGAGTTCTGATCCTGAGTCTGCTGGTGGAGCTCTGGCTAGTCTCTTAACTTCTAGGCTTCATTGTCTTTTCTGGAAAATTATTCTAGAAAATCCTATGATTCCTTCAGGCTCTGATGTTCCATAGGGTGTATAAGTTTGCCAAATATAGAACGAATGCCAATAGTGTGTTAGATGTAGTCGTCAGGGTTTATGTAACCTTGCAATAGGCAAGAAGTCTGTTTCTGTCTCTTGCTGTCTATCTACCTAACACTACATTAGACATTTGGTGATAAAACGACCTCAAGAGTAATGGGTGCTAACAAGTACCTATACACATGTGCTAGATTACAAAATAGACAGTGTTTGTTTACATGCCAAAATGTGTGATATGGACACTAATTGTTATTGGAATTCTGAAAGAGATCACTGTAGGCTTCCACACAAGGAAAAACTAGAATTTCAGATGTATGAGTATCCTAGTTTTGTCATTAATTGCATCTTAGAGTATGTTGCAAGGACCAGATTATAGATACTTTGCCATTACATTGGATTATATCCTCTCATCCCTTTTTATTCTGCCTCAGAGTTTAGACTTACTCTATAATTTGAGCTGTTGGGTTGTTAGGTGGTAAATTCATCTAGACTTACTTGCTATTTTCTGCTTTTCTCTTTTTTTCTCTCCTTGACCCTTTCTTTCCCCTCCTACCAACTCCAGCTGAAAAAAGGAAGGGTGGGCAGACTGTGGATCCTAGCCTCCCACTTCTAAGTGTATCTGATCCTTTCATTCCTCTTCAAGTACCTGATGCACCAGGTAGGTACATAGAACTGATCTGAGGTTAAGTAGCTTGATACTTGTGTCCCAAGGCCTCTTGAGAGTTGTTTTAAACACTCCGTGAAAAGGATCTGGATTCCAAGCCCTACTAATAGGTACTGTTGTATATTTTTACTGTGTCTCAATAAAGAGGGGCAAAATTTTCTGGAGGGCAACAGTCCTTAGTAAAGATAATATAATCAGTTCAAGTTATACTGAATTGCATTCCACATTATATCAGTGTTCAGTTTTTTATCCTTGACTGTGTTATTGATAATGTGAAGGGCCTGTGTATTGGGAAGAAAGTTAGTTTAATAAGATTGATCATAACAGTGTGGGAGGAGAAACGTATAAGATGTGATAGAAGGAACAAAATGCTGTTAGTGGTTATAGTATGATGATTGGATTATGAGCGACTTCCTGTCCAGTTCCTATTTTCCTATAATGTGCTTTTATTTTATAATATAAAAGCACACAATAAAAGTTGATAGAGAAAGTGAATTGGGAGACCTAGGTTCCCTTCTTGGCTCTTCCACTACTTGAAAACCTTCTGGGCTTGGCTCTTCATCAGTGAAGTAAGTTGAACTGCATGAGTTCAAATGTCTCTTTAGGTCTACCATTTCCTGATTTTCAATAAGCAGTTTAAAAAAGTAAGCAATGGTTAGTGTGTTCTGATTGAAGCAGCCTTTGAAACAATAATCGGATTCCTTCCATTTGCAGTTCATGAATGCCAAAGATTTCTTTTCTTGCTCCCCTCCGCATCCTTTTGCGGGGGGAGCATGATGTAAGGAACAAAAGCTACCCTTTCTCTTCTTTATCAGTCTCTTTGAAAGAGCAAATAGATCCAACTCCTTAGAGGCAACTGGCAGTCATTTTACTTCTGATATTTTTTCCTTTTTTCCCATTCTTACTCCTGCCGATTCTTGATCTTAAACTGTGATAGGATCTACTTGTTTTTTCTTCTTTCCCAAAATGTTCAGTGTATTTGATTGATTGCCTCAAAACTGGAAGTGTTTGTGATGTTCATACCCTCTACTTACTGAGACAGACTGCAGCTAGGGTACCAAGACGGTTTTTATTTCTTTAGGCAATTTGTTGACCCTTCTAAGAGGAAGCAAAAACTTGCCTAGATCAGGTAGTATTGTGTAACATTATAACTTGCTAGACCTGAATATAGGTCAAAAATATCTAAAATCACCAAGGAAGGATTCAGTGTAGGATAGTTAAAGACATGAGAAGAAAGGAATCAGATAGAGGCCCTTTTTTCTGTTGCATCCTTCAGGTATGCCTCGCAGTACCTGGACAAGCCAGTTTCAAGCAGAACGCTGGAAAAGTAGGGGCTCAAACTCAAGCTGGGGCCCAGTGGCCTCTTTTTCCTCCCTGTTGTGGCAGTCGTAGGATCAGACAAGAAAAAGAGATCATTGAGGCATTTTTCCTTTGACACCCCTTCAGATTCTTGCCTTCCTCTTACCCAGATAGCCCATGGGCTGCAAAAGCTGGAAGGGTGGCCTCTTGGCACAGGCCAGAGGATGCGGACCCACAGGCAAGTAGTTGTTGTCTGCAGCTGTCACAGGAGCCCTCTGGATCAGGCGTGAGGAGCCAGGCACGTGCACCAGGTAGCTCAGGACATGAACTCCTGGTTGTAGAGATGAGTTGTGAAGTGTTGTGAAGATGAGCTTGGGAGGCGCCAGAGCCAGCTCGCTGCCAGCCTGCCTGCCTTATTGTCATCTTTCCTGTCTTCTGATCCTCCATATTTCTCTCGTTCTGTCGGATTCTTGCTAAAATGTTACTGGTATACACTTTAATACCAATTAAGCCATGACCCCTCGGGTTTTAATGGAAAATCTATTAAAATTTTAATAGAGATTTCCAGGAGTGTCTTACTTGCTTTCTGATGTATCAGACCAGACTCATCTGTTGAAAACGTAAATCAGACATATCACTCCTTTGCGCTCCAGTGAATTCCCATATCACTGAGTGTAAAGTGCAGACTTCTTACCATGACCTACAAGGCCCTAAATGATCTGGCCCTTGGCTGCTCCTCTAACCTGAGCTCATAGCATTCTTCCCCTCAGTCTTTCCTTCAAAAGACTAAGTTTGTTTCCACCTCAGGGCCTTTGCACTTGATGATACTCTACCTGGAATACTTTTCCTCCAGCTCTCTTCCTTCTTGTCATTCAACATTTGTGTCTCACCTTAAATGCTGTCTTGTCTCCGAGAGGCCCAGCATGGTCCGGTCCCACAGGCACTCTCAATCACACGCCCTGGCCTTTTTCTTCATAGCGCTTATCATGACATTGTCCGTTTGCATTTGTTCATTGTCTGTCTTTCCCCACCAGAATGTCCGTGTCCTGAGGCCTTGCTGTCTTATTCACCACTCTATCATGGGTGCTGGAACGTTGCCAGGCAGAGTCAGCACTCGATGAGTATTTGCAGATTGGGTGAACGAATGAAGTAAAACCTGAGGCTGAAAGGCTTTTGGCAGCCTCATTACCTCTGTTTCAGTCCCCAACTCCTAAACACTAGACCACTGGCTCAGTATCCTTCCGACTGTGCCTCTGCCACCCCCAGCCAGGCCTCCCACTCGCTCTTTGAGGGCGTATAAACGACGGCGCAGCTCAGGAAAATAGCCGCTAGGTTCAGCACATCTTTCAGCTCCAGCCTTTCATGGTGCCCTCTAGAATCTGGGCTAAGTATGGCATTTCCACTGTGTCTTTGATTAGTTTATTTATTTCGATGTTCAGCCTGTAGCGCCATTCAGTTATATAGCTTCTTTGTCCAAGGTCCCTACGTCCTTCCTTAGCATCTTGAAGTGCCTGAGTGAGGAAAGGGCTGAGAGTTTAGGGTCACTGCCACCTCAGCAAACTGCAAGTTTGTCTACCCCTCTCCTGTCCCCGGCAAAAGCATCCAGTTTGTCACTACCTCCAGCCCACTATGGGCACCAGTGAAATTTTTTGGTTGGTTCATTGGTTGGTTTTGCATACATGCTACCTTCCTCACTCAGCCTTCCTGATGATGAGAATTATGAAATCTTAGTCTCCTGACAACTGTATGCCTTTTAATGACTTAATTTTATTTTATACTTTTAAGATGTTTTCACTTGTAATTTCTTTTGATCCTACAAATAATACTGACCAATGGGTATGTCAAGTAATATCTCATTTTCTGGGTGAGGAAGTGAGGCCTTAGTGCTGTTGTGACTGTGCTGTTCCACATACTCCTTTTCGTGGCCCACATCCCCCAAGCAGTGGATGTTTCTTCGTCTTTGGGACAGTTCTCAGATCAATAAAGCCTTTGACTAGAGAGCTCAATTTAAGGTCTAGGGAAATACGAAAATGGATTTGAACTTATAAGACCTGGGTTCTAGCGACTTAGTAGTTATGTGATTTTGGTCAATTCATTTAAACTCTGTGTCCTCCTTCTCAAAATTGGCAATATTAAAACCTACCTTATGGAGTGGCTCATGAGGTTCAGATGAAATAATGTATTTGAAATTTCTTTGTAAACTTTAAATTAGCATAAAGATAGGAAATGTTATAACAACTTTGATTCTGGGTCCTTATTCCCAGTGGGGCAGTCCTAGTTACATAAAGCCTTAAACAGTGATATTTTTCTCCTATAGAAAGGAAACTTGCTCTACATTAAACCTTTGACCTTGCATAACTGAGAGCCATTAAACTAGACTCCTTGATGTAATGATTGTTAAACTATGGGTGAAGGGGCACTGAATAATTAAGTTTTTTTAAGGAGCGTTTTTATTTTCCAAAGCATCATAAAACAAATTTTCCTAGAAAATCTGGCGTTAAAAAAAAAATCACAGCCATGAGCATTTGTGTGCTCACAAAGCTGCCAAGTGAAGGCCAGCCCTAGTGAGTCTCAGAGTATTTCACTGATGCTCATATGCTGTGTGCTCATTTATTTGCCTTCTGTTTGCAGTAGGGAACAGATAAGCTATAGGTGATACCAGAGTTTTAATATACGGTAGAAAAGATTGAGGAATTTTCTCTGAAAATTGTCAGAAAGACAATAATTTTTTAAATTGTGTTAAAATATGCATAACACAAAACTTACCATTTTAAAGTGGACAGTCTAGTGGCATTAAGCACATTCACATTGTTTTGCAGTCATCACCACCATCTATCCACAGAACTTTTTTTTCATCTTGCAAAACTGAAATTCTCTACCTATTAACAATAATTCTCCATTCTCTCCCTCCCCACAGCCCCTGGCAACCACCATTCTACTTTCTGTCTCTATGAATTTGACTACTCTAGGTACCTCATTTAAGTGGAATGATACAATATTTGTCCTTTTGTGACTAGTTCATTTCACTTAACATAATATCCTCAAAGTTCACCCATGTTGTGGCATGTGTCAGAATTTCCTTTCTTTTTAAGGCTGAGTAATATTCCGCTGTATGTATATACCACATTTTGTTTATCCACTCATCTGTCAGTGAATACTTGGGTTGCTTCCGTCTTTGGGCTATTGTGAATAATGCTTCCATGAACACTGGTGTCCAAACATCTCTTCAAGACCCAAGATTCTTGAGTATATTCCCCAAATTGGAATTGCTAGATCGTATGGTAATTATATTTTCAATCTTTTGAGGAACCACCATACTGTTTTCCATAGCAACTACACTTTTTTACATTCCCACTAGCAGTGCACAAGAGTTTGAGGAAGAGATTTTTGCAGCAACTCCTTAATACTGACCTCTCAACATCAGTGTTCCACAAGACTAAGCAAGAATGCATTAGTTGTCCCATAAGTACTGCTTCCTAGAATTAACAGCTTTTTCCAAAAAACTGCCTCTTGGTTTATGGCACTCCATCATCTCTTGAAAAGTAGACAAGAGAAGCTGTGTTTTCTTAGTGGTTTGTTGTCAAGATAGGCATTCCTCTCAGAGCTGTTTGCCTAGCATCTTCCTAACTTCCAACTGCTGTCTTGTGACATTAAAAAGTCCAAGGTTGATTATAGTCTGTGTCTTGACTCTGGAA